GAGGTATGGTTGGATCCACTTTGCAGCTTCTCCTCTGAGGTAGGAGGCAGCCCAGACGCTTTTGTCGGCGTCATGGTTGAACTTATCCTGATTGAATTGGAAGTAGATCTCAAGTGGGAGTAAGAAGGTTTCTAGCTCTTGTCGATTGCCTGTGAATCGGTCTGGTAGGGCGACTTTGAGAGTCTCAGTGACGGTAATCTCCTGGGGTCTTCGATACCTCCCATGGCGATGTCTCCGTCCTTGTCGGTACTTTCGGGAGTGGCCTGGTTGGTCGTAGCGGGGTTGCTAGGCTGTGGTGTCGTGGAAGACATGATGTCGTTACTTATCGAGTCGGTACTTGAAGCAGTAATGGTGCTCAAAGTGTTACGAGGTTTGCCGTCTAGATCACGTGGAAGTGCTCTAGGCTCTCGAGGTGGTTTATAACTAGGCGTCAAGCAGGGACTTAAAGTAATGACAATAATGCAATTCGTAACTAATAGTAGAGTATACTAAATGATTGATCTTGAGCACGAAGCTCTATACAAAGGAAATCCATCTTGATTATATAGACCTTCATGCCTATGGCTAGTCAGGACCGCTGCGCGGTCCTGGACAGCCAGCGTTCCTGGACAGCCAGCGTTCCTCAGCGGTCCATAACGTGACTTTAATCACGTTACCTTGGTTTAGTCATGTGACGCGGCATAGAAGATAGCCGTTGTAACACTGGGGAGCGAGATTCGAATCTCGCTCCTTCGCTCCATCGCTTTAATGTTTGGAATACGAAAGTCTATATAATCAAGATGGATTCCCTTTGTATAAAGCTTCGTATTCAAGATCAAGATCAATCATTTAGTATACTCTACTATTAGTTACGAATTGCATTATTGTCATTACTTAAGTCCCTGCTTGACGCCTAGTCATAAACCACTTCGAGAGCCTAGAGCACTTCCACGTGATCTAGACGGCAAACCTCGTAACAGTGCGAAGCTCTCCTACAGAGAGCTTCTCAATCTAGTCCTAATAGGACTAGTGCCCTGTGCACGTGCTACGCAGGAACCATTCACTTTAACATATAATATAATTAAAAAAATATAACGTGGTTTATCAGCGAGTCGCCACTATCAGCGAGTCGCCACTTTTTCAATATCTTTTATCATTCAATTTCAAGACGCGATATTTCAACGAATTATTATGGAAATACAATCAAAAGAGGCCAGAATAATCTTAGCTATTGAAGCTATTCAAAAATCAAAAAATCTTACAGTTGGAAAGGCTGCGAAAATCTACAAAGTCCCTCGAACTACATTACGAGATAGAATGGGCGGTCGAATTCACAGAATGGAAACTCGAGCAAATAATCTTAATTTGACTGAAAAAGAAGAAGAGGTGCTTATTCAGTATATTATCGATATGGATGAAAGAGGATTTGCACCTAAATTAAGTGGTGTAGAAGATATGGCGAATTATATTCTCGAATCAAGAGGTGCGAAGAGAGTTGGAAAGCTCTGGGCTCATCGATTCGTAAAGTGTTGTACAAAATTAAAGACGCGTTTTAATCGTGTTTATGACTTTCAAAGAGCTCTTTGCGAAGATCCTAAGCTTATTGAAGAGTGGTTTGGATTGGTATCGAATATGCGGGCGAAATATGGTATTCAAGATTGCGATTTCTACAACTTCGACGAAACCGGCTTTATGATGGGTATAATATGCCCTGGAATGGTTGTAACTAGTTCTGAAAGAAATGGCAGAAACAAGGCAATACAACTAGGCAATCGAGAATGGGCTACGGCAATTATATGTGGTAATGGAGAGGGTGAAATTATACCTCCATTTCTGATAGTTCAAGGACAAGTTCATCTTTCCAATTGGTATATCGAAACCGATTTTCCTGCGGATTGGGCTATTAAACCTACTTCTAATGGATGGACGAATAATGAGACAGGTTTAGAATGATTAAAGCATTTCGATAAATATACTAGTCAACGAAGAAAGGGCAAATATCGAATGTTAGTATTGGATAGGTATGAAAGTCATGAATCGATACCTTTCCAATCATATTGCAAGTCAAATGACATTATATATGTAAAGTTACCATCGCATTCAAGTCATTTAACTCAACCACTTGATGTTGGATATTTTAGCGTACTCAAACGTTCATATAATTGTCAAGTTAATGAGTTTATCAAGGCATATATCAATCATATTTCTAAGGTTGAATTCTTTATAGCTTTCAAAGCTGCATATCAACAATCGATTACAATTCAGAATATGAAAGCTGGCTTTCGAGGAGCAGGACTAATACCATTTGATCCTCAAGCTGTGCTTTCGAAATTAGATATTCGAATTCGCACACCTACCCCTCCATCGATCCTTTTGGAATCTGCCAATTCTTGGGTCTCTCAAACACCTCACAATCCAACTGAAGCTCTTTTACAATCAACTTTAGTGAAATCTCGAATTGCTCGACATCAATCAAGTTCTCCTACACCTATATTCGAAACTATAGTTGCATTAGCTAAAGGTACAGAACGACTAGCTCATGAGAATACACTCTTAAATGCAGAGATTCGTATGCTTCGGAAGGCAAATGAGGCATTAAGCAAACGTCGACATGTTAAAAATACTTAATTATGTCAAGGAGGAGTACTTACTGGTCAGGAAGCTATAGATATAATATCACAACAAGAGGTGGATATTCAGATTCGACGCGACGAGCGTCAAAATAGGGGAAATTCCAATGGGGAATCATCTACTAATCGATGCTGTAGTAAATGTGGAAAGACTGGTCACAATTCAAGAACTTGTTCTAATAATATAATAGACCCTAGATTATTAGATTCTTAATAGTTTAAATCAATTGATTCAATAATTGTTGATTAAAATAAGTTTAAAGTGGTTGAATAAGTGAAAAAGTGGCGACTCGCTGATAGTGGCGACTCGCTGATAAACCACGTTATATATATATTTAAAATATGACCACCTGACCGCCTGGAGAATTACATGCATACGCTAGACTAGTCGGGAATGAGGGACTGGTCGAAATAAGAGGGTGGTCGGAATGTGGGGTAGTCGGCATGAGGGGTGGTCGGAATGTGGGGTATGGGACTTAATATATACAATACATCCTATATAAAACAGTCTAACATACCTATTTTCAGACGCTCCTTGCCAGACCTACCATTTCCATCATTCAATCAAAGACGCAGTTGTCAAAACCTTTATGTTACAAATACAACACATTCTCAAAAAATAAGCCCTGCGTATCCACCTGTTGCTCGAATCAAAAGTCAACACTACTATCAATCCACTGCACACCCCACCCATCAAAATACTCTATTGCTCAGCTCTACCTCCCATGAATTCCTCCAAAGAAAAAACCATCCACACTTCAAATACAACATCTCCCCTCTCTACCTTCTTCGCTCTACCCCTCCAAATCCGCAACGACATCTACCAAAACCTACTTATTATCAAACATCCAGTATACCTCTTCCAAGAAAAAGTCGCAGAAAAAGTCGAGATATTCGCACCTGAGAAACCAACCCAATGGCTCGCATTACTATATACGAATCGCCAAATACACTCAGAAGCTAGCGAAGTGTTATACGAATTGAATGTTTTTACTTTTATGAATACATCACAGCATCAGGCTAATCTTCTACAATCTTTTCTAAATGGTATCGGGGCTAGGAATGCAAATTATCTCTCTCATCTATGTATTAATTTTCCCATTGCGGAGAATATAAAAAATACAAGGGAAAAATAGTACTTAGGGAAGATGATTTGAATAGTCGTAAGCTTCTTAAAGAGAAGTGTTCTAAATTGAGTACGCTGGAAACACTGGTATATAATTGCAATCCTATTGGTTTTGTTAAAACGAGTCAGGACTCGGAGAATCTGCAATTTATTCGAGAGGTTTGCTCGCAGGTGAATAGGCAATTTAATGATATTCCTTCACTTGAAAAGATCATTGTTAGATTTTATAATGGAGCTCCTACTCGTGAAGTGAAGGAGTTGATGGAACAGTTTCGGTGGATTGTTTTATTTGGATGATGAGGGATATTGAAAGTGATAGTGAAGGATAATATATATATATTTATTGATTTAGGAGAAGTGTTACGAGGTTTGCTGTCTAGATCACGTGGAAGTGCTTTAGGCTCTCGAAATGGTTTATAATTAGGCGTCAAGCAGAAACTTAAAGTAATGACAATAATGATATACAATTCGTAACTAATAGTAGAATATACTAAATGATTGATCTTGATCTTGAATACGAAGCTTTATACAAAGGGAATCCATCTTGATTATATAGACCTTCGTATTCCAACCATTAAAGCGAGGGAGCGAAGGAGCGAGATTCGAATCTCGCTCCCCAGCTCCATCGCTCCCTCGCTCCCTCACAAGACTATTCATGTGATCCTATAACACGTGATAATAGTTATAATGTTACAACGTAACACATCACTACCACCACCATCATCTTCTCTTCCATCACTCAATCTCGATCATTCTAAACAATAACATCATCACATCACTACATCACCTCATATCACAACAAAATACCTAAGAGAAGAGATATTTTAATTTAAATAATCATTTCTTTACTTAACAGATTATTTCTCTCTTCCTAATAGCAAAGCACCACCTTGACCACAATCACAACCACTACTAATCAATCACTGTGTGAAATCTTCCATAATGAAAAATATCCTCACATAGGAATTGAGAGTAGTAAAAAAAAAAACCAAAGAAAGCCCATAAGAAAAAACGTAATTAAAAAGCAACGAGTGAGATAGATCCATTTCCTTTCTGACAAAATAAGTCAAGTAAAAAAAACAACCCCCAAAAGCTCCACCCAATTCCTTTGATCCATCCGCTATCCAGAGCTTATTTGTGTGTCAATCTTACGCCTACCTTATTCGTGATAATCCATCCCCATTCCCATCGCCATATTCATCCACGTCCTCTTCATTAACTGATGTAATGATCTTCACCCTATTACAATCTCCTGGGTCATTCATTTATTTCTTAGATACCGACTCCTGCTCGGCAAGATATTCCTCATCACTAGCATCGAGAATATCATACTCCTCATCAGTCATGAATCCATCATCGGCCTCATCATCTTCAAAGTTTTGATTAAACTCCTCAAAGTCATCATTGAAGATTTCCTCAGAAGCTGGAACATCTTCGGCTGCTTGTTTAGCCTCCTCGTGAACGCTTGAGATTGGAGATTCCTTATCGAGCTTAGGGAAGATCATTTGACTACCCTCAGCCTTGGTCGAGGTAGCGTCATCGTTACACTCGGCTTCGAATTCAGTAGCTTCAACCTTGACAGCTTCAACCTGGGCAGCTTCAACCTGGGCAATTTCATTCTTGGCGGCTTCAACCTCGACGGCCTCAGCGGCCCTCTCATCCACAATACGCTGAATCAAATCAAAGACGGGACCAAGTGAACGAACTTCTCTTTTTTCTTCCTCTGGCTCTTCCTTGACGACTGGAGTTGGCTCATTGACAGTAATGTCACACCAAAGTCTGTGACCAAATTTATCTCCAGTAGGAGTAGTAAGACGCCAGTATGAGATGAAGTTACCAGCACGGTTAGGAGTTCTCATCAAGACAGTGAAACCGTATTCTTGACCTGGAGCAACTTCAGTATAACAAGTTGTGCTCTCAGCAGCGCTGACAAGTTCATGCACACTAGCTGGGTGTTCAGGATCAACGGCACACATGTTATCACCGCCAACAAATCTAACGCTGCATCCTGCAGGCCAAGATGTCTTACCACCATTTCGGAGATACCAGGTTTGTTCAAAGACTGAGTTTGGTGTCATGATGGTACCATCAGCAACTGCATCACGAACAAAGTGTGCAATCAATTCCTCCTCAACCGGTGCTGGAAGTTCCTTAGCAGGCTCCTCGACCACAACAGCCTCCTCAACCTTGATAGGCTCCTCGGTCTTGATAGACTCCTCAGCCTTGATTGGCTCCTCAGTCTTAACTTCGGTAGGCTTGACCTCAGCCACTGTTTGAACTTGTGTGGCAGCATTGGCGGATTGAGCTGGTGTGGTCTCGGTCGCCTTGGAAATGGTTTGATCTTCAGGGCGACGATCACCCATTGGTGCCATAGGTTTACCACTTGGATGATCACCAAGGGTAGTAACGCTAACGTTGCGAACAGGTGTCTTGAATTTGATAAGAGGATGAGTCTTGTTGTGTGGATTGGATGGACTGGCTTCGCAGCAAGCACAAAAATCGGTATCGTGGCAGACAGCACACTTGTAACGATCTCCAGTGATATAAGCGTTCGCGGAGCTACCATTGCGATTGCAGAGAGGTCCATCACAGAAGATTCCATGATGACGAGCCTTAGCAACTTGTTGTCGAGCACCAGCGCCGCTCATAGCTTCGTAGAGAGGTACAAACCTGTGACGTGGGTGAATGAAGCTAGCATTTGCAATACATGAATCGCAGTAATCCCAATCTGGGCAATCGAGGCACTTGTGACGAACGCCAAAGATATACCTGTCACATCCATCACAAACGGCGGCGTGAGCAGCGTTTCTGCCGGGGGCGAGAAGAGCACGAGCGACAGAGCTGTGGTTGGCATCATCATCCACGAAGGCGAAGGCGTGCTTAGGGTTGTGACCATGCTTTAAGGATAGATGGCATTGGATGCACAAGTCGAAATCATCACAATCGGTGCAAGTGACGAATCTGTTCTCGGACAATTCCACGATGCAGCTGTTGCAAGTGCGAGTAGGAACAGGTACTTTCTCTTCGACTGCAGGTGCGACCAGGGTCGTTTGAGAGGCGGAATATTGGGGTAACTTGGATACGACAGGTCTGTAAGCCGAAAATTGTTTAGGGGCAAGTTTCTCGGTTGTGCTGTGAATGTATTTGCCTTTATCAACAATGCGTTTGATCAACCAGTGATCACCGTTGCAAGTGACTCCATTATCATTGCAATTTGGGCACAAGTCGAAATCGCCATCATCACAGGTGCTGCAATGGTAGTGAATATCTGGAATAGCTTCATTACACCCGTTACAGTAAACGGCGAAATTGCCGCTAACAACAGGTGGTGACTTGGGACGTGCTACAAACCTGGGAGGAGAAGCCTTGGAATCGTCAACTTGGTTATCTCTTTCTTCCCGAGAGACTCTGTCAGTGGATAATGGACCATAAATACTCGTGGCGAGTGCCTTGTAGGCGCTAAAAGCGGCCTCATCAGTGGTCTTTTGTATGGCTGCAAGGCTATCGTGCAAGGCTTGTCTTCTTCTTTCCGTCTCCTCTTTCTCGACAACTTCCCTGGCCTTGGAAGATTCAGAGTATCCTGATGCAGGCATTGCTGATTCGGAGGTTTGCACATCTTTTGCTTCAACAATCTTAGCAGGAGTTGGCACTTCGTCCTCGACGGTTGCTGGCTTTGGCATGACAGGTACTTTATCCTTGATGGTAACCTTCAGTCTAAGCTTAAGCTTAGCCTTAGCAGCACGATACAATTGTTTGTAAACTGAAGGATTGGATGAATCGAGGACGATGAAAGCAGCAGCGCTATCGGAGTATCTCTCGAAAATAGCCTCGGAAGTTGGAGGAATGGCAAGAAGATAACGAAGCTATGTAAAATGATGATGATTAGTTAAATTTTGATATAGTGATTATCCAGATTCATCGTGATGAAACAGTATAGGATGTTTGAAGGATCGTGGAGCCTTGTTTGCAGATAGATTGTTGTTATCACATACCTTATCGGGGAGAGTACTAGCACCCAGATCACGAAGTGGGAGCTTGAATCTTCTATTGCTACCCTCAATATTAATCTTGAGGGTAACTAGAGTATCTGGAGTTGGTGCAGTAATCGACGCCATGATTGAATTTATCAAGACTGTTGAAAAGGATCGTGGTCAGCAGATATTCGACGATAAATGATGATATTGTAGGGAGCGGTGACGTGCAAGGGGAGAGAGAGTGGACTCACTTGACTATCTTGGAATGGAAATCAATTACTCTGAATGGGTGTATTATCTTCGAAGAATCGAAGGATTAATAGCTGAAGAACCGATCAAAGAATAAGGAAATATTCTCTTGATCTATTATGAAAAGTTATCTATCGCAGGAATGGTTAATGTGGATAAAGTTGATGTGTTTTGATTGTTTTATGGTAGATGGTCGATGGGTTGATGGATGTGTAGGAGGAATAGGTAGAGGAGAGATGTGGAGAGGGGATGTCATGTAAGTAGTAAAATGGAGGTTAGCTTACGAGAACCAGCAGTGAACTAGTGTTTCCAGGCAATCCAATCGCCAAATCAATAAGCAAGGCTATGGTAGGAGGTACGTGGAAACGCCTGTAGAGCGTAGACCCTAGGGTGAACAAGTGAATGATAAGTGTACAGCCGATCGTGCTGGATTCAAGGAAATCATTCAACACTATGAAAGCTAGAATGAAATAGAAAGAGGCGAAAATAATTGATTAAGAATTAGAAGAGTAGAAGAGTAGAGTAGAAGACTCTTCTCCTTCTTCATCAACGTTCTCGCTTCAAAACCCTCTTAATAGTTTATTGAATGGCAGCAAACAGCGATAGGCAAGTAATCGGTATCTATCGAATACGTACCAACCTACTACCTACCACCAACATTCGACGTGACGCCCTACTTTTTGATTTGTGTCGATGTCAAAATGAGGGGAAATTCACATAGGTGCTAGGTCCTAGGAGCTATCTCATAAGGTTTCCCACTAGTACACACAGAGGATCTCCGTACGAGTAAGCACAATCGGTGATAAATGACGAAGACTCTAGTAGACTCTTACTGTCGTGGGCGTCGGCAGCTCACAGTAAGGACTAAGTAGAGTTACATGCATTTAAACATCGTATCTACATTACCATCACAAGGTCAATCAATCTCATTCGATATCAAACAATTCCAAATAATCCAGCTGAGTGAATCCCGGAAGTAGGACGAGTTAATTGGTTCTATTCTCACAAGGATAAGGCCATTCATTCTATGTAGGTAGGTAGGTATTCATTTCACTCTGCACTGCACTGCTCTGTACAAGAATGATGACCGAGTAGAAAATAATACAACAACTTATAAATATACCGACCGAGGTCGTACAAGTATATACACACCTACCTCATAAATATCCATCCAATACATATCTACCTATCAATTCCTACGTACCTTAACCTTACTCACTTCCTCTTGGCCGAGAATCACAACAGATATCCAAGAGTCTCCAACATCCAATATCCTCACCTCTTACTAGGCAACCAACCAACTACATGCCAATAAGCACACCTACCTAATAAAACATAAACATAAACATAACAAATACCAGGACAGGTATATAAAACATCTCCCCAAACCATAAAAATAAAAAATAATACCAAATCGAACACATCTATCAATTACATAAAAACCACACCAAAATCCATATATCATTCTTTTCGTTCCATTCACTACCTAGGTGGGTACCTATTATCTAGCTATACCTTTCTCCTTCTCCAAACCCTCTCTATATCTCCATCCTCATCCTAATATCCTCATCCTCATCATCTTCATCTCCATCCCTATCATTTTCATATCAACCCCAACCCCCCACCCCCCCCCCAAACACTCTTCCCAAAACAAAACACCATCAAACCCCATAAATCCGAAACAAGCCTCATAACCTCTTCTACCTAGATATCTGCTTACCATACATCCACAGCAATTCGCCTCCCTCCCTCTCTTTCCATCTTCCTTTCTTCCTTCCAACTCGCCACATGCCACGACAGATATCTATTGCTTACGAAGAGGGAGTACAAAGGCCCGCCTCTACAGCCTCATCAAGGCTTCACCATGGGAATATAGCGGCCGGACATGTACTCCGGGCCCACGTAGGCCTAGATATTTCACCATGAATTTGTACATCTTTTTGTATGCCTAATCATTCATATTTGACAATCTATGTTGAGTTGAAAAGGTAATCAATCCCATGCCCTATTCATATCATATTAAATGAAACCCCTGAGAAATTCCAACCAACAAAAGTGCTTGTTACCATCCTCTTCCTCAAACTTCCCATGAAATGATGAAGAAAACCATGTACTACGCCACAAACCCCAGCAAGTAACAGCTTATATTTGCAGAAAAGTGCCTGTACAACCGTACGCCTTTAAATAATATATCCACCTAGCACTCTTATTTGTCTTCCCTCTAGTCCTTTCATCCATTCAATTACTTTTCAGACTTCTAATCCCATCAATAACCATTTATCACTCGTGGTATCCAATTGAGACGACCACATGTCCAAGGTTGTCAATTCGAATCCAACCCAACGAAGACTTTTGAGAAACGCCGACCTATCTCCATCAGGAATTGATCGATCGACACAAACAACCACTTGCGAGACTGCGAATACTTCATCCGCGAGTTCAATGAGTGCCATGAGTCTGTAGCCATTAGTAAAATAGATCATGGTTACCAAAAAAAAGATAATCCTTACCCATGCTTTAAATCCCTTCCAATGACCGAATCATCAAAGAATGCAAAAAGTGTTTTCTCATCTCCATTTCCGCCAACAAATCCTCGAAAACTGCATCCACCAGTATAATCCCAGATCTCGAACCAAGCATCAATTGAATGGCCCGATTTGACGTTACCAAAGTAATTGTTATGCGTATCCACATCATCGTCAAGACTTGAATACGTGTCCGCACCCATCAGGTTTGAGTCATTACTAGCACTTCCTTCTTCACCAAGGAAAATGGTTTTCATGTTCTCGCAAAAGAGTCTCTCACACTCTTCCCGGATGGCGTACGCTGCCCCCTCTTTGCGGCTTGTAGTTCTACCTCGCGCATCTTGTTTCTTCGATAAGTTATTGATGAACGCGAATTCGTTGGCAGATCTCAAGGCCGCAAGAGGGGGACTTGATGGAGGGGAAGTTGACCCTGAGCGGACCTCAGGGATACCACTTTGCCCTGTTGGAAAAAAAAATATTAATATTTTATGTAAAGTTGAGATTCTTCGAGCGGAAAAAGGGGAAACTTACCCGCCGGCGCCGGTAGTGGAGTAGTGGAATCCAGAAAGACGAGCGGAAGAATCAACGATGTAGCAACTGGCGAGGACGTTGGCTTGAGAGCCAACTACCTCGCCGCCACAATTACTACTACTATGACTGTTTTTCATACTTGGAGCCATTGTTCTCGAATATTGCCAGTTTTGCGGTGTGGAGGTTTTTGGATAATTTGAGATCGAAGTTGATGATTTGATTGCGATAGTAACTTTGTTGGATGACACGATGATGCAAAGATGTGATGGTTCGATATTTGTAAGGATCCCAGTTGGGGATACTTGTTGTGAGATTGATTCTTTAATTCTTTTTAGGGGATCTCGGAGTTGTAACTTTGAAGATCGGTAACTGGAGGGAGAACCTCTTTTTCTTTCAAATGTGGGCTTAACAAAGCGAAAAGTAATTTCCCCGCCTGAGAAATGAGCCACGTGATATAGTTGACCAATCAGAATGGATGATGAAGCAACATAACCATCATCGCATCATATAACTAGAAATTTCGAGAGGATTCAGTCTGTTTTTAGTGAATGTTGGTTATTAATAATGAATGAACTCTATTTGTGTACTCCTGAAGATCAAGTCATCTTTTATTCTTTATTACCAGGCTAACCCTTCATCCTTCTCCTGATGTATGTATGTATGCACGGAGTCGAGTTGTATCTGCGTTTTCCTAGCAGAAGTGTAGAACTATATATATATATATACAACCCCAAACTGCTAATTGAAAAGCCCTCCTGAAGAGTACCTCTATACAGGAGTATTACTTGTTCGGAACCAAAGCACAAATATTATATCTTTTGATGCTATTATATTTCACTTCATCAAGGTCAACATACAAACTAACCTATCTCCTAGGTATATAATGCATTTATGATTCGTCTGCTTACACATCCATCAATATATCAAGTAAAAGCGTCTAGACTTACATTAGTACCTACGAAAATGGGGCAGCTGATTTTCAAAGGGACGGCATAAAAGAGTTTGAAGGGATAATAATAAGCTTTCCTGTACTACCAACCGTATGTATATTCGGTATGTATTCTAGTAGATCATGCAAAACATTTAGAGGAGTATCAATCCCTGCGTATAGTAAAAAAGAATATATATATGTAGACAGTACAATCAAGTTCTCAAAAAAATTCAAAAGATCTACACAACCTTCATGATTCTTATTTACCAACAACGAGATGACTAAAAGTTATTCCGAGAATCAGCTTATCGATAAGCAAGATGGATAGTTACTACTACTATCACCGTCACGCAAAGCGGATGCATAAAACGGTGTACAAGCCAACACATCTATCTCTGCTCGCTTTCGCTTCTATACGAGATAAATTAATTCCCAAGGAAAGTGGGAGAAGAGTGCAGGATGAGAAAAGTGCAAGATCCAAAGATCTCCCTCGTACTAAATTAAGTAAGTCAGTGTCAATATCGGTGTCGGTGTCGGTATCAGTGTCTAGACTCTATCCTATCTCACTTCACATGTCAATGTGCTACACTACCTTCTTGTCCTACGACATCGGGGAAACTACTTTTTGCTTACGATATTCATGAAATATCCACCCACTATGTCAAGAATCCATGAATTGAACTTTGTCCTTGGAAATACCGCCTTTTTACCCCTCGATTCTTTGTCCTTTCGACTTTTTGAAGATTGTTGATTCTCCTATCTGTTTATCTGTCATCTGATATACTCCAATATCTACCAACTGATTATCTCAATCGATTTCACATCTATACAAATACCATTAATATCTAATCGCAAGGTCTCTCTATGGTGCATAATAGTAAGTGATCATATCATTCATCCATTTCCGTTGCGCAAAGAGTCTTACCTTTGACACTTTCAAGACTGTCGCACGCGACTCTTTGTGTTCAATGTTTTAGCTCTTTCCCTATTCACTTAATTCCTTCATTCCCCTCCTGTTCGCATTCATGACATTCATGAATTTCATTTCTCTAATATCAATTTTCAGATAATAGTCAATAATACTACCTGGAAGCACGATACACCTTACACCTAACTGACAACTAAGATCTTACATATGAAAAATTACATTATTTGAAAAATTGCTCGCAGGACAAGCATCACAAATATGTCAAACGATCGTCTTACTTTTCCAACTTACCTCCTCCCTTCATTCGCATTCCCCTTTCGTCGTCGCAAACACTCCTCTTCTCCTACTTCCAGCGCCGCGCCATCAGTCAATATAAAGACGCGCACTTCGATTCTAGGTTCAAGCTACTCACCATCAAGTAGTTATAGCAATACTCCCTCTGCATCGCCTACATCTGAAACTTTTCTTGAGCGCACAATCTCTTCTTCTTCCACCGCAGACGAAAATGAAATCAGGAATAATGAATCCACCTACTCCCCTCAAAATCTTACCTCTCCCTCATCTCCTCAATCCCATCTCACTCGTGCCCACCCCTCGACAATTCGCTGCCTAACATGCTCTACCCACCTTTCCTACGCTTCGCAAGTCGTCTCTAAAGGTTTCACTGGGCGCCACGGACGCGCCTATCTCGTCGCACCGCCTCCATCCGTCCCGGTTCCAGTAATTCCCCCTTTTCCCCCCACCGCACACGACCGATCCAAAAACCTCGCGAATATACGAGTTGGAAGACCTGTCAATAGAGAACTCTTAACAGGTCATCATGTAGTCGCGGATGTGAATTGTATGATTTGTAACACGTTGCTGGGGTGGAAATATGTGGATGCGAGAGAACTAGGCCAAAAATACAAAATTGGAAAATTTATCCTGGAGACGAAGAGATGTGGAATTTTCAATACGTATGAAGATGATGATACGGTACCGCATTGCTTGGAATATAATTGTGAAGATGGGGATGTGAAGGATGGGGTGAAGAGTGAGATGACTGGAAACATGGGAAATTGGAATAATGGAGGTAAGGGAGAAAATGGTAAAATTGGTAAAGACGGGGAATTAGCAGCGGTAAAAGTATTAACGAAGGAAGAAGAAAAGGCAAAGGGATGGGTGTACTTTGATTCGGAGGATGAAGATGAATGTGAGGAACTTTTTGCAGGGGTTTGGGATGCCGAGATTGCGCAGAAGAGGAGGATTAGGAGGGTTGATAGGAGGAAGAGGGAAATGGAGAGGGAGAGGGCGGCTAGTAAGGATAGTGGGGTTGGGGGGTTATGAGGGGAGGAGGGTGGTTGAGGAGCAGAGGGGAGGGAAAATGAGAAGTAGTGTGTGATGATGGTAATATATTGGCAACGGATGAATGGATATGGATATGGACATGGATATGGATATGGATATGGATATTGTGAGATAGTATGTGAGTTATGATTTATGAAGGAAGGATGGGTATATAACGGATGGATGGACAAATTATAGAAGGAGGTATTTATTATTCAATGGGAGGGAGAAACTTGCTTATATGGTTCGGGCATGGCTTATGAATCTGTGTATTTAGTATTTTATTCTTTAGGTGTATGGTATTTATTTTATTCATAGTATCTATCTTATTCATCTTGCTCTTATTACTCTTCTCTTCTCTTCTCTTTATTCATCACTCACTATCTATACATCATTCATTACAACTCTAACCTGAACTCACAAACTCACAAACTCACAAACTCCCATGTCCCAAGTCCCAAGTCAGAAAGCAAGCGGTGGTTATAATATTAGTGAAATGTTATATTTGAAATGTTATATTCGAAATGTTATATCTGATATTTTATATTTTATAAAAAATTTATAAATATACAATTTATATTAAATACCATTATATTAAATATTACTACCAATTGAACGCTATTGAGTTTGTTTTTTATATGCTAGGGTTAGATTAGATAGATTCTAGAATGGAAAGTGGATAGTAATGAATAGGAAAGAAAGTTGTAGGTTTGGAGTTGAGGGGGAGATGGGTTGGGATACTGGATTGGAGGTGTTTGATTATAGCGAAGAGTTGAAGATTTTGTATTAAGCAAGATGCTAGTCTCCGTTGTCCGAGATTTTTTTTGAGATTTTAGTGGTGTAGCTGTAAGATGATGTTGTAGTGTTGATTGGTGATTGATAGATGAGCTCCAGGTCGGCAGGTCTGTTATGATCACTTTCTTATTTAAATTAATTCTACAAGGTTACCTAAATAACCTCGCAATTTGCTGAAGGGTAATGAAATGGAAGTCGACTTATGTATACCCCGATCACTGGCAGTGTATATATCCAGTGTGTTAAGAGTTCAAAGTCAAGTCTTCGATATCTATAGTCTCCGTCTTCTTACCGCTGCTGTTGCTACTTCTTCGAGAATCTATTTGGAATCGATCTCAAGGCCCTACCATAACCTTCATTTCTTTTGTTTGGGAGAGCATAGTCTCTAACCGACTAACCTTCACCCAAAGGAGGAAGAATATACGAATATATAATTAGACCAAAGTATCTAAGATTCCTCAATACCTGGGATGAAGCTCCATCAGTAATGGTAGGTGCTAACCAAACAATGTTTAAACTCGATTCTGTGAGCCATCAAGCAGAGAACGAAGGTGTATTTATCAACGCCGATATTGATACTTAATTCTTCTTTAATAAAGCTATTGGTAAACCATTTTCATACTCTTTCTTTTGATCTAATTAGAACTCATACTGAACAACAAATCTAGGATGTCTAAATCTACCATTCTGAAATATCAATTTGCCTTGGAATTGGCTGTTCAGAAATACCATGAGCTGATAGAATAACTCAATTCTAACCATCACATACGGATTATAAAGTGTCTTAGCGCATGTCTACCACATACAGCACTGCTAATCATGAATATAATACCCATAGATAAGTTACGATTATACACTACCTCGAAGCTTAATAGTATGTATATTCCATCTTGAGACTATGTATGATCAGGAAGATATTTGTGGTTTAAAATGCACCATCCTGGCTTTACGGTTACTGAGCTTAGAGGTTAACCATGTGGTGATCAGCATGGTTTTGAACAATAGAGTTTTTATGGAATTGGATATACGCATATGGAAGATATCTTGTGGAGATGTTATAGGTTCTTCGTCTTAGACGGAGGTGCAGTTATAGGATAGGATGGAGACTTGGATAAGTCTTGTTGACATCGGTTGTTGATACTACTATGTATTTTATCAATCTTGGTAAATAGATTAGCATTTCCTGTAGCCGTTTCAGCGTACACTACCATACGACATAAGTGGTTTTTCTTATATGGAGAATTTGAGAATGGCTTTAATAAGTTCTCTGATTATCACTAAATTATTGATCACTAATTCGCCTTTGCAGATGTATTTTCTTCTCCATACCATCACAACCATCGTCGATATGCATGCCGAAGTATCAATAGAAATTTGGAATCTTTCCAGGTACATCATCATAACCTTTCCAACATCCGAAGTCATCATGACATTTTACCAGCTCCACTTGGATTCATATTTAACTGATTCCGGGATCTAACCCCCTTCCAAATTAAAGAACTCTATGCTAACTCTCTCTATACAATCATACAATCATTAATCAATTAAATAACAGTAGCGCTCAGCTACAGCTTTCAGAGCCAATGCTGCTAGAACCGGAAATAACATTGCTATCCTAAGAAAAAATTCGATAAAAACCAGCTGCTAGCATTGTTTCTACCACCATCCAAAGAATGCATAATCAATCACCATCATTCAATCATATAGGTGCCCTTAAATACTTTAAAGAGTTCACAATAATCCGCCATGTTTAACTCCCAATCCTGGAGTGTTCTCATAAATTCAAATCAAAACATACACTTTTCTACCACAAACTTAAATCTCTTGATTTTTAAGGAGGCGGCTGAGGATAGATAAGGTAAGTTCCTTACATAGTGTCAGAATTTCCACAAAAGTGATATACTGTGGACTTTGAGGCTGAAGTGAGGGTCACGTGTATATTTTAAAATAGCTTTAGTCTCTATTGATACCCCTGAGGGCTTGGAAAAAGTCGGAATAGTGATGCATTGAAAGACTAACTTTCAAAATGGAGTCCTTGGTGTATCTTAATTGCAAGAATGCTCGCATCTAGTCTTCAAATTTGAGCGCCCTCTCGACTTGGTACTTTCATTTCCAACCCGTGACGGTATAATGGCACAGGAACAGAGTGAAGAGGAAGCTTTGAATGGTGGATTGAGGGGTGTCTTTGCTCAAAAGATTATTGAAGGATATCTGAGCTTGGATAAGCAGTTTTCTGGGAGAACGATATGGCTAACATTAAATTGGAATAAGTTGGAATTAGAAAGATGCGTTTGTATGTTCCGAAATGTGGTATTCAAATAAATAGATAGATGGATAGATAGCGAGTGCGCTGAAAGCCCCCATTCACACATCAATGACTAAGAAACCCAAAGGAGATCATATATACGGCACCTAACCTTTTTGTGTTGGGCCTGCTCTCCTTCGAAAAGGGAGCTTAGCGAAGCAGAGAAACGAATTGAAAAGGCTAGCATACCAGGATCATCAACGAACTCATATCATACTTGAGCAATAATTTATTCGCTCTCCTAGCCTTTAATAGCCCTATCTTAATATCATCAATTCATATGACTCCCAAGCTCTACCATCGTTGAGGAAAGACATGGCATGCGGCGTCACTGGACCTGCTATGTCAAGCAGCTATATTGTTTTTATCACTTGGGGTAATACTGCGAAATATAAGGTTTTCAATAAACACGGGAGGCGGCTGATTGCCATCTCCCAGTCCTGGCCACAAGTGACCGGCAAGAAAAGAAAGAACAGGTATTGGGTTTCTTGAGACCAGAAAGAGCATCAGATTGAATTGATTGATTCTCTAGCTAAGCAGTTAAGCTGCGAGTATATATTCAAAAATGAAGGAATAAGGTTAGGTATTCAGCCTTCGGAATTAAAGTGCTTTGAAATCAAAATATTGAAAGCAAACAAACAGTATACCAAAAAGGAAAGAATGAATTAAAAGTTGAGTTTTGTTTGCTCCTTATATGCATCATGCAATATATATGCATATGCTGCCAAGATCCCAGGAGGTCAACAACAGGACAATCGAGGTCTTGGAAACAGCATGGCATGTGCTTGTGCCGAGGCTAGTCCTAAGAGACCTGTTATACTTGATGCCAACTAGCACTGAAAGATCAATCGGCTGCTGAGTTGTACAAAATCCCGAACCTTTTTTTTTTGAGGCGCACTAAAGAGATTTCGACATTGGTTATGTGCTTCACTTAAGCATCAAAGCCTCATTGTGGATATATAGGCTAGAAGGAGTTAGCCATGAACGCTTTGGCGTGCAAGGATTAGTTGGCAGAGCCGATGAACAGAGGTGAGCGCTTTATGTTGTGAGGAAGATAACGGGTGCACTGGACAGGCCAGAAAAGAAAAGTGGTAGTTGTGCAGATAAAAGAATATGGTAGACGATGATGAAATACGCAGTTACTCCTCCATTTTCTTTCTCCTGATATGTTTATGCTAAATGATTTGCTGACGGAAAAAATGACAGCTATCAGGGATACAGTAAACCTAACCGTGAAAACAGGTGAGAGAAGCTGGGCCGGATTAGGTTCGGTTATACCTTTCTACAAATTTATCCCGCAGGTTATAATAACAGTTTCGTTACCCAAGCATACCAGTATCCTGAATTGCAATGTGATTGCAGTGGCTGGGATGACGGTAGTGGTCGTAGCTCTTAAGAACACGACCGACATGCTATGGCGAGATGAGGGACATGTGTAGAGGCGGAGGAGAGAAAGGAAGAGCATTGAAGATGAAAGAGGCCAGCAATAAGTCGGTAGTCCACTCGTATCGATAAAACTTGACTCTCTCCGGAAAAAAGACGATCTTCAACTGAAGAATTGGTGTGTGATTGATATGGTTGCTGAGATGTAGATACTCGAGCCAATTTCAAAATGAATGTGCAATTTTAGGTTGAGATGAATAAAAATTTCCATTCCTTTTGAGCGTCGCGGCATGAATCTAAGGCCAGTGGATTTTGCAAGGTTTTGGTCATTTTGATGGCTGTTTAATCTCGCGCTAGTGCTATTACTCTTGGATGGATACTTCCAACCATTTGTTTTAAAAACGCATCATTTTCATATTGCTTACAACGATCCGCGCAATCATTGGGAGCTCGAGCTAGTGTCCAGCAAGTTGAAATCTTCCACTACTATTCCCGAAAACGACGAAAGCCCCCGGGAGCAAAGACTTTCCTTTGTAGCATCATGGGTGCTAACACACGCACCGAGTTGCGAGAAAATATGGACTGTAAGAAGCGATAATCGCAACTTAAATCAGATTCGAAAACTTTGGCCTCTGAGCATAAGCTGTTCGACTCTAATCATTGTAGAGAAGCGATTTCAGGTTCTGTTGCATCCAGTCGGAGTTTGGCATTTTCAAAAGCAACAGAAATTATTCCTTCGCGACATCCATTTTGTGAGCCAAAGAAATATGAGAATATTCAACTGTTGGACAATCTCGCAGCTGCAAGATTGTCAAGCAGATAAAATCCTGCATTGAGGTGGCAAGAAGCTGTGCGCCCAGATGCAGAGGGAAGGTCTTAGAGGCATAGTGTGTGAACCAGAGCCCCAAAAATGATTGTGCTAAGCTCTGTATCGACTGTAGAAAGAGAAGAGAAGAGCCATGAGAGAAACGTTGCTAGGCACCGTAGAGTAGAAGAATAGATAGAATTGGAGTTGGTAGAAAAGGTGGAAGGTGGATCAAAGAGAATAGCAGGGAGAAAGGCAGTGAAGAGAAGATATACGACCCTGGTAAGTCTGGGGCAGTCGGTTAGGGTTTATCGTCGGGTTCAACAGCCATTGTCCCCATATGAGAATGGACATATTTCAACTGGAAGCTCTGAGCTTGTTCAAAATTTGATGAGGGTCCATTGATGGAGTCTGGCAGGTGGTGGGTGGTGGGCGGAAGTTGGTAAAAATGGGGAGTAGAAGTAGAGATATTAGAAGGGACAAAATCGAACACAATGAGTCGTCTGTTTCACCTAGGATTTATCTCCTTTCTTTTTGGTGCATTTAACAATATGATATGGGAACTTCACATTTATGCCGAGTCTCCTGCCCATGTTGCAAAAATAAATTCACCATATTATTGTTATGCTGATCCGAAACACCTCTGCAACCAACAGAGTAGAGCCCTCGAGGATTCCGTAGTATCTTTGGGTTTGAAAAGAATGACGGAAACCTTGACAGTAAGCAACTAGCCCTTCTGCACGATAAATCTCCCCTTCGTCTGAAATAGGAAGGAGGGGAAGGGAAGGGAGGTTGAATTCCGAAATCGGAAAACACAGGATCATACCATTTACACCAATATGAAGCTATTCACACTAAATCTTGCTATACGCTAAAGATCCCGTTCTATAATTTGAATAAGCTATAGTTTTAAAAATAGGATCTTTACTGATTCGCTGCTACCGTAAGGTAATGGAAATCAGATTAACAAAAGTATGAGCAGACTTCTGTTGTGCTTTCCTTACGAGATAGTAGACTAGTACTTGAGATACTCTCTCCATTCCTTCTCTAGCCAATCCACTCAAACCGTGAGGATGAAGTAAGTAATACCTCAGGTAATCCAAGTACCGAGGCTATCACGTGATAATTTGAGCCATCAAGGCTCGCTAGCTTATCAACACGTTTTTTTAAGATGAGGTAAACCGCATTCACACTAGCGCCTCTACGATAATTACCTAGTGTCAAAGTCATTCAGGTTCAACACAAAGAGTTTGTCACCTTCGCCCCAAACTCTTTCTTTTCATTTCATCTTCGATCCATCAACAACTTTTCATCCATTGTAAATACGACACACGCAATTGACACAACCACACCTCTACGACTCCGCGGTTTCGTATCAAAAAGAATATCACGATCGGGAAGATAATACTGTTGGGAAAGAAGCTGTGGAAGGAAATATTCATTTGGAGGAAAAGAATCATACAAAGAGAGAGCAGAGTGGATCGTCTTGGTGGTGCAATTGTTTGGTCTTGTGGAGGAAAGCGGCAGCTTCAAAGAAAGAGAAAGAAAGAAGAACATCACAATAGCAGTATTACTGCAATCTTGTACTATCATTTCCTTTTGAGAGAGCCTTTTTCTGTGTCACCAGAGTTATCTCCAGTGATTGCAATCAGATTTGATTTTACCTCGTTTCCCTGAACGAAGAAAAAAAAGAGAAGAATCTTGATATTGCACCGGTCGCATTCACGAAACATCCCTTCTACCCTTCCCCATTCCATCATATTAACTAATTCTCAAGCATTTGCTTGATATATTGAGTGCATCAGGAGAGTAGTTTGTTTTTCTGTACACACCAACGCAATCAGAAATTGTCAAGCTCAAGGATCAACAGCATCCTTAACAACTTCAACTTTGATCAACTTGACCAACCGCAATCATGTCGTCTTCAGTGTTCTTCAAATTCAGATCCCAAAAGGAGCCCTCTAGAGTTGAATTTGATGGTACTGGTATCTCTGTATTTGAGCTCAAGCGTGATATTATCATCAAGAGTGGATTAGGTGACGGAACCGATTTTGATCTCGTCATTTGCAATGAAGCAGACAATGAAGGTAAGAATTTTGTGTATCCCCACTAGATAATGATTCTGACCAATGTAGAATATGATGACGATACTACCGTTATTCCTCGGTCAACTTCGATCATCGCTCGTCGATTACCTTCACTCAAGCCGGGAGCAGGAAGAGCCGCAAGATACATGTCAGGGCAGATGCCGATAAAGCAGAAGACTTCGTCACGAAAAGAACAAGGGAAGCAGGCAAATGCGAAGGCTGTTGCATCTACACAAGGGCTGGCACAAATGGATAGTGCGATGACTGAGGAGCAGAAGATGGAAGCTATGTTCCAGGCCCAAAGTGATCAATGGACAGCACAGCAGGAAGATATGGCAAAGTAAGTTACTCATGTCTTTAACCTAGCAACATTTTCTAACAAGTTCATAGTCAAACACCAGTCTTCCGACCAGGTGGTAAGAAAGGTCAGCCTCCAGCAAACGTTCCGGATCATGAACCACCAACTGGATACATTTGTTATCGATGTGGAGAAAAAGGGCATTGGATTCAGGTTTGCCCTACGAACGATGATCCAAATTTCGATAACAAGGCACGAATTAAGCGTACAACTGGTATTCCAAGGTCTTTCCTGAAAACTGTAGAGAAGCCGGTGCAGTTGAGCAATGATGGTACATTGGATGATACAAAGACACCATCTGGTGTAATGGTAAATGCTGAGGGAGAGTTTGTCGTTGCTGAGCCTGATAAAGCGTCTTGGGAACAATTTCAAGCTAAAACCAAGTCGTCTGCCGCTGCCCAGAAAGCTGCTGCTTTAGGAGATAAAGTGTTGAGAGATAGAGGATTGGAATGCGCGCTCGACATGAGAATATTCATAGATCCAATGAAGACGCCCTGTTGTGAGAAGACGTACTGCAATGACTGCATTACTAATGCTCTTATCGAAAGCGATTTCACATGCCCTGGATGTCAGACTGATGGAGTATTGATTGATGATCTGAAGCCTGATGATGAGATGACCGCCAAGATCAAGACTTATTTGGAAGAGAAAGATGCAGCCACCAAAAAAGAAAAAGAAGAACAGAGAGCTAAAAGTCCTAGTGTAAAGTCCGATACTGTCACTACACCACCAATCAAAGCATCAAAACCCACGGGAAAGGCTAAATCACCAACGCCGAAACCATCACCTAAACCAAAATCACCTGAAGTGTCAAAGGTCTTGAAACGTAGTCCCACACAAGGAAAATCAACTATACCCGTCGTTGGTGTTCCAGGTGCACCTTCAGGCCCTCAGGGTAAAAAGCGACCTTCGGATGAATTACTAGAGAACCCTAAGATTCCCAAAGGACCAAAAGCTATGCGACAAAAGGAAGCTGCCATGATTCCTCAACAACAAAACATGATGAATGGTATGAACGGCTTTCTAAATATGAACAACATGCCGCCGCAATTCTACGGTAATGCAAACGGCTTCAACGCCGGCATGCCCAACATGAACATGATGAACAACTTCGGCATGGGCGGTATGAATCCAATGATGGGCATGAACCCCATGATGGGTATGAACTTTCCTAGTATGAATAACATGCCCATGTTCAACAACGCAAACGCTTTTGGCAATATGAATCCCATGATGACTGGAAATATGCCTCCAATGAATGGAATGGGTAGAGGAATGAATATGTCGAACGGGGCGGCAGGCGGATTTCCTAATCAGCAAAAGACAATTTTCGCGGAACCGCTACCGAATGAAGAGGACAATGCGTATTTCAGAAAACCGGTTAATCCACATAGACATGTGGGAAGACAAAGAAGGGCAAGACCAAGTGATTATCGGGAACTTTAAGAATTACGATACTAGCGTCATTTTTCTTCTATCGACTTTTAGCCTCCTCGGCTCCTTGCTTCGGATCGAAATACCGATACAGCATCCGTAAATCGCCACCTTCATCTTCTCACGGAATCGGATCATTTCAAAGCAAGCTGCCATTTTACTTTTCGCCTTCCATTGACAAAACTCAACTCAACACAAACAAAATCCGCATCGTCGCAAGATTTTGCTCAGGAAACTGTATTCTGTTTCCTTCTCTTTCTCTTCTTCTCTTTTAAACTATACGCACGCAACGAAACTCACTAGAAGCAAATGGGCATGGTACGGGCATGGCATCATAGGTGCACGGGAGGCATACTATACTATTTTGTTACTTGCTAGCGTAAATATTTTAAGAAACGCAGCATTTTATGGTGTTTAGGTGAATTTGGGTTTACGTACTGGCATTGGCATTGGGATTGGGATCGTTCATGTTTATTTTATTGCTTTTGGGTTCGCCAGTTCATGGCTATGTTTTTTTTTTTGTTTTTTTTGGTTGCATTTACATTTGCGTTTGAGGATGGGATGTATGCTTGCTTGCTTGCACTATATGATGGATGGATGGATGAATATGAGAATGAGGTGGTATTCTGCTGTGTTTATTTGTTGGCTTGTTGACTTGCTTTCGCGTATCAGAGGGGGGAGGGGGTGGATTTTTGAAATGTCCTTTTTGAGATGTTCTTTTTGTAGGGACGGAGGGAGGGATGATGGGTGCGGAGAAGTACATAACATGCATTCGGGTACATACTACAGATGATGAGAAAACCTTTAGCGAGTTAAAGCACCTGAATGGATAAATGGAGATGTTATTTTATTTGATTTGATTTGATTTGATTTGATTTCTTTCTTTCTCTTTGCGTGGTGATACTAATCAATCCTGAACTAATATCTTATATTTATATACCTAGTCTCTACCTCATCCCTTTTCATACTAGGTATCTTTCTATCTACTTATCTAGTGAGTTAAGTGTCTTTCTTCCCTCTCTTCATTTTCATTCACCCACCGTGTACTCTATAAAACCAAATACTCAAATACTCAATACTCAAATTCAAATCCAAATCACCTCAAATCCTTACTCCAGTCCCCAAAACTCCAATATCTCGGATAAGGTTTTGATGAAAGATGATGATGCATATAGATGAGTATATGCTTTTGATTTATTGAAAAAAAGCTTTAAAAGCTTTAGATATTATTGAAGGAGGAGGTAGTCAGTTTGGATTGATGGTGAGTAAGTGAGTGATTTGAGTGGGAGTGTGAGTGAGTGTGAATTGTATGATGGGGATTTGGGGTAGGGGTGTGAAAATTTATGGAGAGGGGGAAAGGGGGAAAGGGGGATTTTCAGTATTTAGGTGTGTATAGTTGGGTAACAGGGAGATTAGGTGGGGTATAGAGGGGGTTATGAGGCAAGTTAATGGAGGAGCACAGGGAGAAGGGCTCCGATTAGGAGGAGAATATGAGAGAATCGAGTGAATGATACGAATGTATTATAAACGAATATAAAGTAAGCCAGCGAAATCTCAATTTCAAAAGTAAACCATATGACCGAGTGAATCAAAAAAGGGGCAAAAACGGAGATTCAATCTGGATGAGTAAGGAATATCTATACTTTAGATACCTATTTAAAGAATCCTTTCCGTCTAGTAACAGAAAATCATTCTTAACACAGAGAGGACCAGTTTTGTCGATGTTCGCTGGTATCAAAAAGTTTCATGCAGGTTTAGTTGTGATGAAGTATGGGAGTGAGAATGGAGGTGAGATGGGAGTAGAATTTAATTTAGTGGAAAGTACTCTGGTTTGATGATAATGTAGGAGATTTTGGATTGATGTTAAGGTTTGGGATATGATAATAAAGGAACGCGTAGGCTATGGCGATGAATATCTAGTGAATAGTGAAATATAAGAGGATTCAGGAATTGACAATAATAAAAACGTTCAAAATTTCCGTCTAAAGTATCTAAAAGATTCCCCGTGGAATTAATTCATACGTATAAATTCATATGGATTGTATGTACACTCTAACAACAACTAGCTACAAAGAACTTTCCCATGTATTGGGGAACGTTCAGCAAATCATGGTCTTGATACAAAAAAAAGAGGTAGAGAATAAAGATTTATATACTTACATAACCTTTCCTGCAAGTATTATTTGGAAGAACAAGCCGTGGAGGGGGAATTCAAATAACGCTAGCGTTGATTTACCTTCCTCTATACTCATGCTTGGGAACTTCATCCAGCTTCAATTGGTTAGTCCCCCGTTTAATTCTGGTTAGCTCTATTGAAATTCATAATTTGTTTATATAAATTTACCTCTCTATGCTTTAGAAGAAGAAAAGTGTGGCGAAGCAACAATCAGAGGTGACTTCCATCTGCAAGTTATGGATGTTGCGGGGTGATTGGCTTTTGTTTTTTTGTTTTTGAGGAGGTAGTAGGGATATGTGGATAGGATTGGATGGAGGAAAGAGAAGAGATGACCTCTTAATACTTATTATCTTTTTGATAGCGAAAATAGATGATAACAATTTGGATTCCAGATGATGATAATTATGAAAGTACGACTGATAACAATAGAAAAGGAAGGAGATTTCGTGAATGAGATGAGATACTTCCCAAACCTCAAACCTCACCCTCATTCAATCTAATTTACTCAGTTTTATGACCTAAATTCCCGAAATCTTTATTCAGATAGGGCAGCGCTATATTAGCTTTTGTCATAGATCTACATGAATGATGGTCTAAGCTGGAATTTCCACGTTTGGGGATTCGAGCAGACGGAGTATGCGATTTTTTATACTACTCCCTGGAAAGGGAATAAATGCTTCTGAGTTGTGTGATTACTGATGTTATTGTAAGGCTGAATCTTGTGAGAAAAGGAAGTGCTCGGTGAGTTGTGAATGAGGAGATATAGTGAAGTGTTGAAACTTGGTACCTAGGTAGGTAGGAAGAATTCTAGGGGAAAAGTTGAGGATGAAGTGAATAGAAGGAAGATAATAGGTTTGAGTAGATCAAGAGCATGGTAGAAGTGAGTGGGAGCAGTATATAAGCGTCATTTTTCAAGCTTCTAGTAATTCAGAATATCAACATTAACAAGTACATACGTATTTCGGCTGATGCTTGTTTACACCTCTTGAATATTTCTTGCGTGAGGAAGAGTTTCCCGCATAGTATTGGAGTTGGATTCAGTATATTAAGGTAATATTATTGTCATTTTTATAGTTGCTATTGTCACTATATATAATATATACACATTTAAGAAACGACTTATCAAGCGATGAAGAAGAGTGAGGAGACAAAACTTTAAGCCCTAATTCTCCCCAACGTGCATTCACATTTCAAATATTGTAGAGATACAGGCTTCTGTCCAGATAATGTCAGTCCATTTCTCTGTTATGATTGCATTTTGATTTCAAGAAAACAACAAAGAGGAATATTCTTGTCTATTTATGCCGCAGTGTCTTAATCTTGTACATCGTGTGATTTAGAAACCCCTCAAATTCTAAAGTGTTGAGAAGGTGTCTTTCTTAATTCACTAACCACTTCTAAGCGTTGCGCCCGCATTTCATACCCCTCCTTTTGCCAGCTACCTACACAGTCAATTTCCACACTATTTTCTTATTTAAACTTTTCCAAGCAAGCGCTCAAGCAAAATATGTTCTTATAGGTGTTTGGGACCCTGAGATGTGTGTCTGGCCATCAAGATGTGTAGCGTTGTGGTTATTTTCTCCTGGATAACCTCCGGGAGCCATTGCTCATTGGGGTTTAGATTCAGGGAGCAGAAGATATTGTTGTCTAATTCTAGCTGTGGCAGTTTGATTTAGTGCTAAGGTTAATTTTGTGACAAAAGTAAGAACCAATGGCAACAATGAAGCGCAAAAATTAGAAGGGGGTTCATATCTTAAGCCTCGAGGACAGGCTATTCGCACTCCGGCACATGTATTTGGATTGACCGACAGCACTTTCATCATGACACTGCTTTGCCGACCATTACGAATAGTAAGGAGCGTTGAAAGGATCACAATGAAGTATTTAACAGGACTGTGGACCGTGATGCGGGGTACGTCTAGGTGAATTTCGATCCTGGTATCATGTAGAAGCCGGGTGCTTGTTTACTTCATTCACTGACAAGCTACGCATCTCACCCATCTTCTTCCAAAATAAAGTCTTTAAAAAGACTGGTGTATCAGTTACGAACCCCTAGAGATCTAGAAACCAAAAGTATTCAAGAAATAAAGGATCTCAAGTTCGCCTGGGTGACTATATCTACCTCAAATGCCAGAAATGGTTCTTGAGAAGGGATACTCCAAGTTTGTATAGGTATGGAGATGTAATGTGATATGGGATGACAATAGGTCATGCTCATTGTCCATGTTTTCAAGTGACTATTAATTGTGTAGATTCAATCTTTATGACAATATTCTCAGCAATAACAGTCATAAGAATATGAAAAGACGACGATTGGACGACATTTCACATTAAACACTACACATCGCCTTTTCCCAGCCCTCTTTTCCCCAACTAATTCCACACCCATTTCTCCTTTATTCCTTATGTTCTGTGTCTCTACACTGTAGAGAATACGGAGTTGGAAATGTAACCACAAGCTTTCTTTACTTCTTTCTACATGAGATAGAGAAGAGGTAAGCCCTGCTTCTTATACTTCTAGACCCAGAAGCTGTAAGTATGAGTGCGGTGTTAGGCAATGATAAGGAGTACCACCGGGCATATCTTTTTTATTCACTACATCTCCCAATACTGTTTCTTTCCAGCAGACTCATCTCACAATCTGGTATCGAAATGAAAAACTTTGGAAGGATTATGAGATCATGAAATACCAATGCCAAAGTTTCAGTGTAGTCACGTGGGCAGCGGCATTCAAGGGGGGAAAGTCTGAGCTGGTGCATAGTACATAGTACGTACGAAGACTATAGTACAATGGACCATTATTCTCATCTTTATTATTATTAATGCTAATAAAAAGACAATATACCATTCGATAGCAAGTGAAAAAAAGAAGGATATTAGATGAGATATAATATATCCCATTGATTCTCATCCTTATCATTCCTGGCCTACTTCCCATTCTGGTTTAATTCTGTGTGAACTGAGGTGGCGGGGCAAAAACTGTATTTATGTTCGCGTCTTCTCAGAATCGGGGAGATTCTAAAGGGGAATGAATGTATTGCCTTTTATGCGAGCGTGTTACGAATGTAAGACGCAAGACACAGGATAATCTAAGAGCGGAATAATATGCCCAGTTCCTGGAAACCTCTCTGTGTACCTATCCACTATTCTTTAAACTCAGATACTTTATATACTTAATGGTCGAATTTTCTCGACATTTGGTAGGCTTGCGGATGCAAAATGATTAGGTCTAAGATCAATTTTGGCAGTCCTCGGTTCAAATTTTAGGATAGCTAAATGAACAGATGGATGACTGGTTGATGTATAATAAGGAAATAAAAGGAAATTGATAGGGCGAGCTTGTATAGAGAATATATTTAGACTCGACAAGGTTTGTATCTCGAGACCATGTTAAAGCAAAAATGTTGAATGCTAAAAGTACTGCTGTATTTTGCGTGACAAAATTCAATAAATGGAAGGAATTACTTCTGACAGTGCGCTGACTACCGTTGTGAGTTTAAATAATTTAGCACAATAAGATGTCTGACTTACCAGGAGAAGAGGAATATAAATGACAATGAAGCTAAGGACTTGAACTGTTTGTGAATAAATAGAACTAAGTCTGGAGAATCAAAAGACTTCATTTATTAACTGGAACTGCTGAAAGCCCTTGTATGAGACCACCTATCATCACATAACCTGGCTTCAGATGATTATATCTCCCTACTCTCACCGACTCCCCGTTTTCCCATGCGTCACAAGTTACATGAGACACCACTCATCCTGATCCAACTTCCCATTCTCCGCTTTTTTGACGTCCCAAGCTCTTTTTTTAACCAGCACTTATATAGGGTGACCGTTCTTCAAATTCGCTATTGTTTGTTTCAAATCCCTTTTCTAGACAAATAAATTCTCTGACTTGAATCCGCGATCGAGCTTTTCCTACAGCACCCACATTCCAATATCATATATCAATTTTCCCAACTGACGTTGTCTCCTTTCTGCAAGGCTTCATTATTCTCGCTGTAAATGATGATCTCATCCGTGTTATAACCAAATTTTTCGTCCAAAAGAGGAATTCTGTTCCTTCATTCCGTTGGAATCTATATTTTACACCCGCCTTCTCAAGGTGCCATTTCCAAGGGTATATTCTACCACTCTAAATGATCATTACCATTGCAACTGAAAAAAAAAAGATAGAAATGAAGAATTACATGGCATCGTTCGTTCTTCTCAAGCTGTCCATAAGTCATTCCCAAGAAGTAGACGATATACAGCTTCAAAGCTTGGCCGTTGATTTACAGCCAGGGGTGGATTTGTGGCACTCAATGTGTATAACTTTCCAGTTAAAGGAAACTGCTTTGATTCGTCCAGATAACTTTCGAGAAAGAGATACGTCATGATCAACTCAATCCATTCAAGTCATTGTGTGTTAGAACTTTCTACCAATTCATGCAATTTCTAAAAGCGGTGGAAGGAATTTTAGCTAGTCGCCCCGCGAGCTTTGAAGACACACTTAAGTTCCATAGAAGTAAGTATAATTAGGCGCCTAAATTCTCTAAATTCTTAAAAACAAACCAAGCTCAAAACTCATAGGAGCATAATTGCGGCAAAACACTTGTCAGAAGCCATCTAACAGAGAAAAAAAATCATACCCGTGCTAATCACACCAACATCTGTGTACAGATTAGTAGTGGATACCTCGCGAAAAAGAAAGTATAAGCAAAAGATTTGAGCAAGAGAAAGATGGAGAGCAGTAATAGATTCCATGATCCTCGAATTTCAATATCAAGAGTAATGAGAAACCAGATCCTAGTTGTCCATCATCTCAAAGTTTTACGGCGCGTCGGATTTGACCTAGGACTTTGACCTCTTGTAGATTGAAACGTAAAAAAGATACGTGCCCATCACCAGAAAGGGTATCAAACCACGGGCCAGAATTCTCATAGCTACAAATGGAGAGGAAAGATATAATAATATCGGTATCACGGCTACCAAAGGAGTCAATCGTGCCGAAAGTTTGATCCGATAACGGAAGAGCAATCTACACAATTACCCATTCATTTAGATATCTTTTTACCCCCAATTCTCCAGGCGAATCCTAATCTTGGAAGATAAAGATATTGACACGTGCGGGTCACACTACATGAGCCATATGCGTGATGTATTTTATCTTGTGTATCTTCCACGGTTATCAGATGCCTAACTGTAACGTAGGACAAAATCTTCGATGCCTCGATCGGAATCGATTGCATCGAATAAATACACAATACATATACAATGCTGTTGTGCTTCAATGTCTATAATCGGCGATGATCATCAACTGAATGACCTGTAAGCGGCTGATAATATCAATAATGTCCGGTATATGAAAGCCAAAATGGACGTTGAAGGAAAGTTGAAGAAAATAATGCAAGATGTGTAGTACAGAGAGATGCGGACAAGGGGCGGCTCAACCAATACTCAAGTTGGTGGTACATCAAAAGGTTGTATTCTGCCAAGAATCTTTATTTTTTTGCCGAATGCGAATTTGAGCGGGGGGAAGAGGGGTTATCTGTGAGTATGGTGTGAAACTTCTGACGATGTTGTTCTCGCCAGCCTTGATAGCTGTCTTGTCAATTAGATTCGATCTAGAAGGATATGGTGGATTGTTCGGGAACTCGGGAGATGGATGGTATGCATCAGTGAGAACCGTTCCGTCTGCAATACGACAGCCGTCGTTCTCTGTGGCGTGGGATAATATTGATGATAACTTACTTTGGTAGGATTGAGGCAGGGTGGTTGGTAGAGTTGATGATGTAGTTGATGACTAAGCTAATGGAGGATCCAATTGTTGATTTGGATGTGCAGTGAGGAATAGGGGTCGGGTATCTCCAAGAATTGGTATAAATTTGGGTGACATATGAGGGGGACATGTGAATGGTGTCTCGCAGGACGAAAGATTTACGATAATCAGTGGTGGACTTACAGAGTACTCCTTCATTGTCACTAGCCGACAACTAATCTCTAATAATGTCACACCACTTAACCTACCAACTATACAGCTGTAATCTCTGTGTTGATCATACATGTACCTGCTGCTCTGATAGTTCCAGCTCATGTTTCAACTGAAAAGAAGCCCGTTGGATCTGATTAGTATTAAGGGGGAAGTACCAATGTCGTTCACTATGTGGATCAACAGTGGAGCTCAACGGCGATGGATTTACCATGCATCAGGGGCGGCCTATCGGTAATTGCCTTCTAGAAGTTTCAGATCTTCCGGTTGGAGAGAAATTTCCGAATTTTACTCAGCAAGATGGGTAGGATCTCTGACATACGTTTACGAGGAAATGTAGGTATGCCAAAGAGAAGAATGTTTCCAACCAGGAACACCAAAGATTTCGCTTTCGCAGAAGGCATGAACCCATTTATTTTTGTGTGGTGAAGCAAGTATTGGACTGTACGATGAAAAGATCCGGTTCCCCGGATTTAGCACTCTGTACTATGAACTGTAAATGGTATCGCGGACCCCCGCATTTACACGAGATCTTTACCTAATATGACACTTCCGAGCCGTGGAAGTTATCAAGGTGAAGCTTTTCAATCGGCATTGCCATGTGTCCGGTGTGTAGCTGCGCACGATATCTTTTTATTTTTTTTATTTTTTTTATTTTTTTTATTTTTTTTGAGTTTTGGTAAGCTATAAAGTCCTCGTCTTCATCCGTGGCCATTATGATGGCAATGGCTGTATCTTCCATTTACTTTCCCGGCGTTAGGCTTGAAAGTTGTAACCTGAAATACCATTGTTACTGTAGCATCAAGCATTGCAAAACGTATTATTAATGTTGGTTTGAAGATTGAGCTGGCGGGTTCTATGACTCCTTTTGCTCACCTCATCCCGTACCCGAGATGAGCGGAGTGTAGGGCCCGTTCTAGGTTCTCATGGTTGGATGAGACGCTGGTATGAGTGTGTCGTAAAAGCTGCAAACAAAAATAAAAACGGTCTTTCCACTGAACATACCACATCTTTCCCCTCGAGGTCTTCATTGGAGAATGCAATGAAATATTGAAAATTGGAGGTAAGCAGGCCAAGTAACTTGCTAAGGGCAGGTCTAGAGGTAGTTACGATTTGATTTCCACTTTCCAACCCCTTACGGCACATTCCAGTCCTGTCTCTTCCCCATGTTTTGGAAATCCACATATAAGGCCGAATGCAGCAAGATACCTATCTCAATCGTCTTCCCCAAATATGACAAGTCATATCGTGGGGGTTTTGTGCTATGATAAATCTGGCAGCAACAGTCGATGGCACCGACATCTAAGACAACACTCGAACAAAATCTAAAATCTACATACCTACCTAGATGAGCTGGCTCTAGAATTCGTTCCCATCAACACGAAAAAGAAAGGCGACGAATGAGGAAATTTAATAAATTCATATTTAGATTGCGAACATTATCGATCGTAACATTTGGCTTTCCGTGCAATGTTGCTTTCGCAACTTTACAGCTTCTGCCTAACGTACACGCTGACGCTCCCTTAACATTTGATTCGGTCAACATCCTTTCCACACCGCTATTCGAAAAAGATGAGATGAGATGAGAAAACCTCGGGACCGGTAGTGAAGAATATTAATGAACCACTGATATTGTATTCTTATTGCTGTCCTTGTACGGTACTGTTATGATTACGCACGTCCGGGTCTATCTACGGAGATCCAGATTGCACTAAATATATTACTACCGATAATACTTGGCGAGATGAAGGGGTTGATGAGACGGAGACCCAACTCAACCTGCAACCATTCGGAACATGACCGACTTCATACCAAAACAGAAGGGAAAGAACAATATTCAAGTCTCGGGCCGTAGTCTGAAGCCATAACCATCTTTTTTCCTTCTGGACAAAATATCAAGGGCAGAAGCAAAAAAAACACAAGCCAAGACATACATTACCACTCTAATGCCTACGGGTCGATGTTCCGGAAGCAACGTGTGGAATTGAAAAACGATTCAAACTCCACTTTCACACTTGTCCGTCTTCTTCTCCAATATCCATACATTATGCATGTCAACCCCACGAAATTCCATACCTTCACTGACATGCAAGGATGCAAAGCTGTTGCAGTAGTAAGGCTGGAAACAGCTCAACAACACAACATAATCCGACATGTTACATACAACCAAGAAACTGGGGATTAGCTTGAGATTGGATGAGAATCAACGAGATGCAATCATACAACGCATGCAGTATTTCTAGGGTTTCCTTGTATTAGAACGACAGTTCAAACAATATAGGAGTGTCCGGGGCACTCGGGTTCGAGAGGCTATATGCTAATATGGTAGTAATACACCGGAGATTTACAGTTTTTATTTCATTTTTTGCTGGTGCCGTTGCAATCATTTTTGCTTTACTGTTTATACTGCTTTTTCCCTTGAATTTATTGCAAACCCTCGCATCGCATAATGCCTCAGACCGATCATTGATCAAAGCCAGTAACGCACGCACAGCAACACGACTGAAATGATCCATACCCCTGGTTTGGTAAATTCGAACATTCTTGGTTGAGACTGGGGTAAATTGTGAGGCGGCTTTCCGAAGGGATGAGTGTCTTGAATTATTTTCCTTCCTTTTCGGTTTTGCCTTTGGATTTCTTTGTCAACATTTTTTTTTCTATCTGTGCTATGTTTGATAAGGGGAGTCACACCGGATATGATATGATTAATTTATCAAGGTTTCGTATGGTAGAAGTGAATACAAGATAAATTCATTCGTTTGCCCCCCGAGTTGATTAAATTTTTGTTTGGTTTTTAATTTGCAAGATTATTCCTCTTCAATGTTCGTTGGTTATTTGACTCTCCTATCTCACTCAGCTTCATAATAATCAAAACTATTTTTGCTTCATATCTGCGAGTGCGCCTGAGCAAAGCATCTCTGTTCTGTGGAAAAGCATCAAGTGTATCACCAATACGCACAATAAATCCATCCTTCCAGAAGGATCGTCAGCGCTTATCAACCTTCTCCCATTACCCCATACAAATCCAACGTCTTCTGGTGTGTACTAGCTGATTTCCCCAATATTTCCAATCCACCGCAAACTGACCCCAAACGTGTCAGCACACGTACATTCTACGGTAGTACCAGAAAAAAATACATAAAGGTCCAAGGTCTCCCGGCCTTTTCGCCCATATCTAAGCCAGACCTTCACTCCAACCTTTTACCTCTTCACATACAAGCGTCATCTCCATAGACCTCATCATACACCAATACTTCTTTAATCAAAGCTTAATACTAGTCGACTTCACATAATACTCAACATGCCTTCTCAGTCATCAACCACCACAATGGCTGTGCCCGTTCCTCGTCGCCGTCTCTCTCCACTTCTTACCTCTTCCACCTTTGGCGAAGATGTCAGTTTCCACCTTGACACTTTCAAGGCCAACGACGCCAAAAACAAAACTCAGTACACCTTCCACGAGAATGAGTACGCTCCACCTGCTCCTCCGCCACCAAGCCCAATCAATTTTCCCGCTGAAAGTTGGAGCACCGCTTGTCGAAGATAGATTTTTCTCTCTTCACTATCACAAATATCTGGGAGTTGCATGAGAGGAGTGTACGTTATTGCGCATGTAATCAAGTGAGGATACATACATTCGATGTATTTTCTTCAGCACTCATGATTACTCTCTGCATTTCGATTTTGCGTTTTGAATTCCGGATCATGCATCAGCAACAGTTTCTTGGCTCATTCACAACAGGAAACATGGCATATGGCAGACAGTATCTTGTTAATTGAGTGGACATAATTCAATCTTCATACAACATTCCGTACTCCATCTCCATACCAACAAGATCAACAGCTACAAAACCTTGGATAGGACATCGCTCACGCGTGCATTGGGATTTTCATTAGGAGTTATAAAAATGGAGGCAATTATAATGTTTTATTCGATTCATTCCTTGGATACCTTAGCAGAATATGACCTTTTAGTTATTGGGCTTTGCTTCTTTGGGTCTGCTTTCACGCTGCTGGCATGAGCGTTTATACATTTGGGGGAGTAAGGGAATGCAATGGAACTTGGATGTTTGGATGTATAAGGGCATTGTACATTATAGAGGTCTCTTTGAGGTAGGTTATGAATGAAAGCTTTGATTTTCCCCTAGGAAATGAGGTACTTTTTTCTGCTTGAATTTTACTATGGGTAAATAGTGCTATTGTGATGAGAATTTCCCTTAAGTTCCATTTCTCCCCATTCCCTGCGCATCAAATAACAGTCCATGATATTCCTTACATACCATTCTTAGTTCTCATTTTATCTACCCCATTCCATCCCCGAATGATTCCCGTCAACAAACTACCCCGAGTCTCACCCCCACAATTCACCATGTGCAAATCCGGGGAAGCAAGGAATACGAACATGCATGCGAAAGATTTCAAACACGAAATCTAGATTCCATAATCTCATTACGATATATTTTTCTGATAGTGGCTTGATAATGGCTTGATTTTAATAATAAGTAAATTTGTACGCTAACAGCATGAACCAAAAAAAGTTGCATGCATACCGAACCGATTCGGCTCGGGAGGAGGTTGAGGGGGAATGCAGACACTTGCTTTTTTGAGGGGAAATTTAGGAAATGTAGTTTTATTTTTGGGGACGGCAATATATTTCCTTTTTTATTATTTGATTCTTCTATTACCCTTAAAGGCATTCAGATATTCATGATATACTCATATTGCGCCTTAACCATAATGGGCAAGTCCAGCCTTAAACTCCTGATACAGAAAGTGGGGGAGATAGTGACATACACGTGATGGTGGGGCATTGGGAGGACAAGCATGCAAGCTTATCTCTCCTCAGTTCCGAGAGCAACTCTCCAACAACATCCTACATGCCGTAGTGTCGGGCTCAGATATCCATCATGACAGCCGCAGATGGAATCCCAGGTCAAGCAGGGCTTCCGACCCCCAATCCCACAAAATCTTTCTGGCATAGTGAACCTTCGAAGATCTTGCTAGGTCACAAGACCACCGAGAAACTTCCTCCGAGTGCAGATGTGATTATTATTGGAAGTGGAATTGCGGGGACTTCGGCGGCCCATTGGCTAAGAGAACATAGGGAGGGGAAGAATCTTAACATAGTGATGTTGGAGGCGAGAGAAGCTTGTTGGGGAGCGACGGGTAGAGTGAGTTAGGCTTATCAGGAGGTTACACATTTGACCGTTCAAAAGCTGACATACTTCCATAAATTCAGAATGGAGGACATTGCCAACCCCTTGTGTACGCTTCACCACCTGCAGTTGGGGCTTTCGAAGTGAGAAACTATGAGGACATCAAGTCTTTCGTCGCGGAGAATGATATTCAATGTGACTGGAGGTCATTATCCAGCTGTCACTCTTACATGTCGGAAGATCAATTTGAACAAGCTGCCAAAGTTGCAGAAGCACTCAAGGTTCTAGACTCAAAGTTGGGCGATCTAGTAACCATCGTCAGCAAAAATTCTAGAAATCCCTCACTATCTGACCTCCGAATTCCTACAGCGGCTGGCGCTATCATAACCTCCAAAGCTGCTTCTCTCTGGCCTTATAAATTAGTCTCCTGGATTCTCGAACATTTGATTTCTAAGAATGATTCCACAAGTTCCCCAATATTTAACCTCCAAACTTCAACGCCTGTAACCAGCCTTCAAAAGTCATCTTCAGCATGGATCATCCACACTCCTTGTGGCCAAATTTCAGCTCCCAAAGTCCTTCTTACAACAAACGCCTATACATCTCATCTCCTTCCCTCATTTACAGACCTTATCGTTGCCGTCCGCGGAGAAATGTCTTCCCTTCTTCCTCCATCCTCCATGTCACCATCCACAGAATCCTCATATAAACCCCTCGAGTACTCCTACAGTATCATGGGCCACGCAGGTCAAAACATAAATCGAGATGATTATCTCGTCCAACGACCTTTTTCGACAACTTCATCACAAAATCGATCCGGAGGCGAACTTATGTTCGGCGGTGGTCGTCAATATGCCACCGAAGCTGGCATGGGTGTCTTCGACGACTCATCAATTGATCCTCCGGCAGCAGACTATCTCCGCCGCGAACTACCTCGTGCATTGAATCTTCACAACAACCAAGAGAAACTGAAGGCTACTTATGAGTGGAGCGGGATTATGGGATTTAGTAGAGATAATTCGCCTTGGGTGGGGAATGTCAGTGAGAAATTGGGAGGTGGAGATGGGTTGTATGTTTGCGCTGGATTTACTGGACATGGTATGCCGACGGCGAGGTTGAGTGCGAAGGCGGTGGTGGAGTTGATGATGGGAGAGGAGGTGGAGAATGTTGATTTACCGCGTAGGTATGTACTAAGTGATGAAAGGGTGGAGAGGGTGAGGGTGTTGGATGTGGTTAAGATTGCGGATGAGATGGGCCATTTTTAATAGGATGATGGACGGGTTTTTGGTTAAGTCTAGTACCCTACTTTCCGGCCACCCCCTAATTCCGGTCACCTTTTTGTTACGAGGTTTGCCGTCTAGATCACGTGGGAGTGCTCTAGGCTCTCGAGGTGGTTTATAACTAGGCGTCAAGCAGGGTCTTAAGTAATGACAAATAATGATATGCAATTCGTAACTAATAGTAGAGTATACTAAATGATTGATCTTGATCTTGAGCACGAAGCTCTATACAAAGGGAATCCATCTTGATTATATAGACCTTCGTGCCTCCTTAAAAAACCGATGGCTATGAGCCCGACAAATCGATCACCGCAAAGCCGATCTCGATTTGTCGGTTTCTTGATCATGTGATCAAGAACGTGACCTATGTTACTGTCCGACGTAACAATAGGGCAGAACTGAGGCTATATTGGTCTTGTATATGAATCACTCACTATCTAAGTTCTAGTGAAGTGCGAAGCTCTCCTATAGAGAGCTTCTCAATCTAGTCCTAATAGGACTAGTACCCTGTGCACGTGCTACGCAGGAACCATTCACTTTAACAAAAATCATAATTTCAATCATTTATATTTCAATCAATAAAATTGTAAAAAATCTAAAAATTTTATGATTTATTAATATCTATACAAAAACTCTAAAATTCAAATTTCATCAAATTTTATATATTAATTGTAAAGTTATTAATAGGTGAAAATCTCGATTTTTGGTATAAAAAGGTGGCCGGAATTAGGGGTGGCTGGAAAGTAGGGTACTAAACTTAGTGGGTGAGTGTATATGAACTTTCACTTCATATCTCAACAGTATTTTTCATCATGATCATCATCATCATTTAATTGACCTGACCCATTCATCCCCCAACATCGTCTTCATATCGTTCTCTTGAAACATACTATTATTTTTAGTCGCCTATGCAATCACCAGATGAAATCACCTTGCAAGTTGTAGTTTCAACTTGACCGACCGCCTGAAAGTCCACGGCCATGAAGAAAGCCAGATTCAGTTCCTCCACAAAGCATATTCATTAATATTGCTAAAATACCAGTATGTAAACTGTTCGTGTTTAGAATAAACCAGGTCCACAGCCGCAGAGTAGTAGTAATGGAACCACCCGTTACCATCACCATATACGCATTCATTGCCTCATCCCAATCAGCAATTTTTTTTAAAAAAAGAAAAGTATGCTCATTCTATATCAATTTAGTATTACACATTCCTACTCTCTTATATCTTGTGATCGTTGAAGAATTTTCAAGGTAGACCTGATATGAATTTGGTGTTAACGAGACCTCAAACAATTTCGAATAGTAGAGTTTGGGAGCTTAGCTTCCTGATTAAGTTTCGGAGTTGAAAATTCAATCTTCCATGATCTCCTTTTTGATAAAAATCGATTCGACGACTTCCTTTTTGATGAATCCTTGCTCTGTGGTGTTCTCTTGCTTGATAATGACGTTTTCGATAAACCGCTGCGTAGTATTTTCCTCCTCAACAGTTTCCTGCTTAATGGGTTCCTCCTTGGTACTCTCGGTCTCAATAAGCTTACTTTCTTCACAATCCCAAGCCCCATATCCCTCCTTACCCTCCCCAACTCCATATCCACCCAAACGTTATACTCCGAATACTCCCTTCTATCCTCCAAGCGCTTCCGCTCCCTCACCAACCACCCCTCATACCCCTTTCCAGCCTTCCACTCCCAATCCCCCAAATCAATCTCCCACTCATCAAAATATTCATTCTCTCGCACACTATCTCCTCTCCGTTCCAAATCCCGCTCCAAACTCCTCAAACACGACTCCATAATCCCTCTCCTATACCTCACAATCAATCTCCCCAAACTAGGAACTCCTATATCACACAACCCCTCTCTTTTTTCTCGATATATAACCTTATGCATGCGATTATAAATAAACCGCGTACGCATTTCCGCAGGCTCGTACGCAAATTCTCGTTGTTGCGGTATCCAGATTCTGTAGCCCGTGGTGTTGACACGTAGTTTCCATGCTCCGCAAGTGTAGTATTGCGATCCTTCGGCGTTGAGGTAGTAGTAATGGTTATCTTTTGGGTGGGTTAGTGGTTAAGGTTGGAGCTAGGGGATTGATGAGGAGGAATGGGGAGACGAACTGCCGAATGGTAGAATTTTGCACCGTTTTTCTGGTGGGTTTGTGTTAGTTTTGGGTTTTAATAGGGATATTGGGAAGTTACTTTACTGATGAGCTTATTATGGGGTATGTCCATGAAACAGGCTAGGGACATGGTGATATTCTGGGTGGATGGGAATGAGATGGTGGTTTGCAACGAATAGGGTATGGAGAGCTGGTATTTAAGTTGCTAAACTTCAATGTGGCTATCTGTGAAGTTGTGACCTCTTTGAAGATTTATTATGTGAAGGTAAAATATTTAGTTATTAATACCTGATTTGAGCTTTCAATGTTACCATAGTGAATATGGTTATTTTTTGAGCCGGTGACAAAGATTCGGTGAAAATGCGATTATAAGGAAAAGGAAGCCACTAAATGGTACTGATGATAGAAATTGCTAAAGAATGTTTGATAACATTTTTCATCCTATTATGTGTACCCTGACCCCTCATCCAAGCTTTTAAGTATATTGAATTGTAATCTAAAAGCCTTTTGAAAATTCTCTCCTCATCCGTCACAGAATTCTACAAAGGTCTAACAGCCTTTTCCGCCGTCATCGGCTGTCTATCCACATTCATCAATCCCTCCTTCAGATCTTTTATCTCCTCTTCTATCTTCCGGACCTCCTCCTGCTTACAAAAATTCTTCCCCTCCTCCTTCCGCCACTTCAGATCTTTCTCTTCCCTCTCAATGGAATCCTCAAAATGTTTCTTCCACGCCTTAACCATTTCTGCTCTTTCCCCTTCCCAGCCTCCGTGTCCAGCAATAGCTTTTTCTAGCATGACATTTGCTCTCTGTACTTCTGATCTTCTCCCATTCAATACTATGTTCAATTCTTCAATCACTGCTGGATCTTTACCGGGATCGCGATCCCAGATCCCGTTAGGTAGGCGGCGGGAGTGAGAGTTCAGGTCTTCCGTAGCGGGTCGAGGTGGTGGATCGCGTGTATCACATCCTTGGCACAGTATGCGGCGATTTGTTTAACATCTATAAATTCGCGCCAGCGTGTGTAGGCAGAGTCAAAACCAGCGGAGTTAAAGTTGTGGGGCCAGCCGTAGGTGCGAAAGAGACGTTTTAAATCCCCATACTGGTCATTGTTAGAGAATCATCCGAGGAAATTTTGTGAAGGCAGAAAATTGCGAGAGAAGTTTGATATCAATTTTGAGTGAAGAAACGATTTGGCTTCGGAATAACAATAAAAAAAGGAAATGAATACCTCTTCATCTGATTCATAGACCATTTTACGGTCCTCAGAGCTCGGGATCCATTGGAGTTTCAGGAGCCCATTTCTGCAGTATTCAAAGAATTCCTTAGCATGGCGGCTGGGTAAGTGAGCGTGCGAATTGCGGTTAGGGCCTTCAGAACGTTCAGGAAAACCAGAGAGACCTGGATCTTCGCAACGGCTGGATTCTTGGCCAATTACTGTTATGTGACCTGATTTTAGTTAGTATAGAGCTTGAATTATGAAATGAACTCTTCGGGGCGAAGTAACAGTTGTTGGAATTGAGTCTGACTGCTGAGAGAATTTGAGATGTACCATGACGAAAGAAATATATTTGGGAGTTGTCGACCAGGAAAGAAATATCATCATGCTGTAGTCCGCTTGAACATTGGATATAATTAGAGCAAGAATTTGGGGATGAAATGTTAAAGTATCAAGGTGTGATTTTGAGTACTGCCCAAACTTCAAATGTCCTAACAGCTTAGGATGTAATAATGACAGCTCAAAATCTTACCATTTCTCGTATCAAGATACATTATCGGCCCGCCATTTCCACATTCATTGATACAGAGCTCCCAGGGTCTTACATACTCTCCATTCTCATCATCAAATCCTCCATCAGGAGAGCAGAAACCGGGATCTCGACTCTGCTTTAACACCTCCGGATCCCTCATGTCGGCAAAACTTCCACCGAGAATAAACTCATCTTCATTGCAATAGCCTTCAACATATGGGAGTGCTTGAAGAAGTTCAATGACTTGCGGCTCGAGATTATAGCTCTTGGCGAGATCCACGTCGATCGGAGGATCGTGGGGTGCATATTTGATGTAAGATGAGGGGAAGTAAAGCATTTGGGCGAGTACTTCGTAATATTGACTTATCATCGTTACTATCTCCTGCTGATCGTAGACTCCAGTCTTTTCGGGTTCACCATGCAAGGTGATTCCAGGCAGTGTTTGCATTTGATAAGACATGATACGCGAAGGAAACACTGAAAATTAGCACTCACAGATGGAGAATGAAAAGAAATGAAAGGAAATGATTAATAATAAGTGAGATCAAATAAATGACGGTATATGTATAATGATGGTAGGTAGCTAGGCATACACGTACTTCGTACTGGGTCAATCTTTATATCTGATCATACCAATACATGTACTTATAAGCTAGCTTCAATATAGACATTACTCGCTACCTAGACTAGTGTCGAGAGCTTCTCCGTTTCGAGGTGGTTGCCTACTAAAAGGTGGAGCGGGAGTAAAGATTATCAAGCGTCACGTGTATGGAGAGCTAAGGCAATGTGAGGCTAATCACATGACACCTCTACCGATTCTGCCAAACAGACCGCCTTAAACCTCTCGAATTTCACACTCCAGGAAAAAAAAACCCCTCCATTACCTGCGTCTCTCTAGGCACAACTTCTTAATGCTCTCGCCTACTGTCACGAAGTGAGGCTTCGAAGCCTTACTTTACCTAATAATTAAATGTTCAGGAAACTGGTTGGTTCTTCTCTCATCCACATTTGATGTTCAATCAATTGAGATTTATAGACTCTTCGCAGTCGGCTGCTCAATCCACTATACTGCCGTAATGCGTCGGCACAGTGGATTCGTAGTCCAAAATACTTATTCGTGAGGCATCATTCATTAGCCCTTGCTCTTCAAGGGATACCTCAGCCTCCCGATACGAGCAATTGCTTGTTCCAGATTCCCCCTGGTTCCAGTCTACCAAGCGAGCTTGAAGTGCCTCTTCCACCGACGGCCGTGTTTTTGAATGATACAATTGACTGGGAAGCGGTAGATAAAATTTTGGAGAAACACCCGTTTTTAGCCAAGGCTATCAACTTAGGCACATCCAGACACAGGGACGCCTTTTTCTTGGCTTCTCTGTGGGATATCTCACATCTCGTGCAACAAAGAGCGCCGTGTACTTTTGAGTACGAGACTAAGTATATTAAGGCAACCAACGGCGACAAAGATCTCATTGAATGTAATTTGACATGCAACCTCCCAGGTGTACCTCCGCTGAAGACCAGTGCGACTTCCACCCAAAATGTAAGTCCAGTTCTTTGAAGACGGTGAGAACGTTTTACTGATAAAATATTCCAGGCTCGAGCCACAAATGCGGCAATTTTGCAACTACTTCTCCTGCTCGAAGAGAAGCAACAATTGGATGCCTTATTATCCTTTGTAGCACCAAAATGTATTTCAAAAGACGTAAAGAAAGAGTTGAGCAATACTAATGTTCAGCCCACAGATACGGCACCAGTAATGGCATCGTCGGAAATATCAAACCTGATAGCACGATTAGCAGCACGAAAAAACCTAGCAACAGAACCGACACCAGTAGAGGAGCCACAAGAAGAAATTCCACATAGTAGCCATGTCACCCGCGAGGTTTTTAACTATGCAGCAAGATACCTACATGTTCCTAGATACACAGTTAATGTCCAAAAGCGTTCCAAAAGATATATTTCGAACAATTTCACCATGTCAGGAAAGGTTAGATCTCCAAAGAAATTTTTTACCGTTGAGATCTCCTTGCCTGAACATGGCATCCATGCAACCGCAATTGGAGACTCTCTCGGCCTCGTGGAGGCCCAGGCTTGTGTAAATTTCAAAAAACAAGCTGAAAAATATCACATTGCAAATGCCGTACCTTCTGATCCATTCGAAGGACCAATCTTTCTAAGCACTGGAAATGCGAAAAACTTCATGGATTTCTACAATGATCACAATGCTAAAATAGCCATTAACGTAATACGCGAGGGCGGTCTTTGGACAGGTCAAGCCTTTGCTAAAGAGTCTAAAACTAGTGCTCATGAACTAATTGGCCAGGTCATTAAAAGAAACAGTTCTCATGGTCTTGAAACGCTAACTCTACTAGTGGCTGCAGTCACAATAGTCAAGCAACGACCTGAGCTACTCTTGCGTTATATGGAGAATCTAGACTCAAGAACTGGAAAGTACGTCGGCAAAGCTCAGCCTATGGAGCTTGAAGTACAGCAGAGTAGTCAGCATCTAATGCAGCGTACGGTAGAAACTACTTCAAAGTTAGGTTCATCTACACCACTTACGGATGAACCTGTGGGTTATGATGTCTCTTTTTTTCCACGTCCCCTCGAAAATCCCCTTTTATATTTTGGCATAAGGACTGAGCGACGTTCCCGTGATTTGCTTATGTGGTACCGCCAAAGGCTGGCTGGAAAACGCCGCGGGACTTTACTTCCTTTAAACAAGCATGCTTCTGAGGTACTGAGCCACGTTGAAAGCAATCAATACTCAATTATCGTCGGGAAAACCGGGAGTGGAAAGACGACTCAACTGCCTCAGATCATTTTGGATGATTGTATTCGCAAATGGAAAGGTGGAACATGCAGGATCATCTGCACACAGCCGCGAAGAATAGCGGCGACTTCAGTAGCTCAACGTGTCGCCGAAGAACGCGGTCAAGAGTTGTGCGATCAAGTGGGATACAAAATAGGTTCCAATGCCAAGCTTCCCAATCTTAGAGGAAGCATCACATATTGTACCACAGGAATCGTCTTACAACAATTAATTCACTCTCCCGATGATCTACTTGATAACATATCGCATCTTATTATTGATGAGGTACACGAGAGAGATATAAGTATTGATTTTCTTTTGACTATGTTAAGAAAACTTATAAAAGAGAGAATAGAATCCGGGAAAAGGAATCCTAAAGTGTGCTTCATGAGCGCCACCGTGGACGCTGAAATGTTTCAAGAGTACTTCGCTTCAACGGCATCGACCGTAGGAGATGTTTCCTGCCCAATTCTTCATGTTGAGGGTCGAGCTTTTCCAGTCGAAAGGCATTATCTTGAGAATATCATGGACAATTTCAAAGAAACATATCCAAGAAACCATGCCATTTGGGGCCTTCTTGATTCTAGTCCGACTCAACGTTATCTGAAGAGTGAAGAAAATGATAAGAAATCCAATCCGCCGGTTGGTGTTGAGAGAGAGAAGGTTGACTCTGTGATTAGATGGGACAGCCACGACGATGATCCCGATAGTCTACAAAATCAGATGAAAATGGATCTTGTGGAGGGCCTAATACCTGTTGATTTAGCTGCCGTTGTGATTGCACACATAGCGCAAACCACAGAGGATGGTGCAATATTACTTTTCTTGCCAGGCTTACGGAGTATCAATGCAGTTGAAACGATCCTCAGGACGCAAAAAATTCTTGATGTAGACTTCAACAACGAGGATAAGTTCAAGATTTTCAAATTACACTCTTCTACTTCAGATGAAAATCCAGAAGTCTTCAAGCCAGTTCCCCAAGGTTGTCGAAAGATCATTCTAGCCACGAACGTGGCTGAGACTTCGATCACCGTCAACGATGTCCAATATGTCGTGGATACTGGGAAGCACAAGGAAGATAATTTCCACCAGAAGTTACGAATTTGGTCATTGCCTTGTAAATGGGTTAGCAAGTCAAGCGTGAAACAGAGATCTGGTCGAGCGGGCCGTGTTAAGAACGGTAGTTATTACGCTCTCTTTTCGTGAGTCATTCGTCCAACCCCTTTTCACATTTCACGATTGACATGATGCAGGAAACGTCGTTACGATTCCCTAAAAACAATTTCTCGCCCAGGAATGCGTCGTGTCGATTTGCAGAGCACTTGTCTTGCAATTAAAGTTCTGGGTTACCCCGAACCCATTCAAGATTTCTTAGCTGGCGCTCCAGAGCCCCCATCATCACAAGCAATACAGTCAAGCGTTGAAAGCCTCAAAACACTTGGGGCACTCACCGATACTGAAGCGATCACTCCTCTGGGAAGTTTACTTGGAAAGCTACCGCTGCGCCCGGCACTCGGCAAAATGATACTTCTCGGAATAATTTTTCGTTGCTTGGATTCTATGATAATTTTAGGGGCCCTCGACGGCATCCACCTTCACGTAAGCCCACTAGGCATGGAAGAAGAATCTGATTCGGCAATGAGAGGGTTTGCAAAGGCATCCAAGAGCGATCACATCGCCATGCTCAATGCATTCCGTGCGCTTCGTAATCTGGAAGAAGTTGATGGACCTGAAATCATGCGCTCATTTGCACATCAGAAATTCCTTAGTGTAGCGAATTATGAAAAAGCAAAACGATCCATGGTATTAATCCAACAGGCGCTTCAGCGCAACGGCTTCATACAAAGTTCTCAGACAGCTGTCGCCCATGGATCCGGTATAGGATATGGCGGGGCTCTGTTGAATGAGAACTCGGATCAAGACGGCTTAATCAGGGCACTTCTTGTGCAGGGCTTGTACCCGCATATTGGTACATGGGATAACCACACATCCAGATATCAAATTGTGACTAATGAAAAAATTCACGTCTCGATACATCCTTCTTCCATTAACAACCCCAAACAGCGCCCCAGTCTGGACATTGAGGGCATCAAATCACCATCAAAAGGGAACGCTAGGTTATTATCCTTCAGCACCCTTGCTCTTATCAGCGACAACAATCTTGTTATGCACCGCACAACTGCTGTCACTCCTTTCATGGCATCTTTATTTAGCGGAACTTTGAACCAAAAGGATTTGAATGTGGACCGAATCGAGGTTGACAAATGGCTTCCATTCGATGTGCAGATCACAGAAGAGCATAAGGCCACAGAAGGTGCTGCGGCACGTACAGTCGTACAATTCAATAAAGCATTGCGACAATTGGAGAAAGCTGCCTTCAGGGATTTGGCCAAGGGCGTATATGTTGTTGACAATGAAATGTCTCGTGTTCTTGGTAATGCGTTGAGGAATTTGTTGCTTATTGAACAAGATGTCGAAAGAGCTGCAGAAGAGTACGAATTTGACCTTAATATGAACATACAAAAATTTTGGACTCCACCAGAAACGCTATCTGAACAAGTACCACTTGAACAACCACTCAATGAAGAAGCACCATATGATGAGGATTCTCATGAATCTTTTCTAGAACTAGTGGAAAGTGCTTTGGAGGCACCCATTACCACTAGAAGCTATTCGAACAGCACGTTATCCGCTTCAAAGGCTGAGTCATACTTCCCTACATCGAAGTGGAAGCCGAGCACCAAAGAAAACAACGGTAAAGAATCAATATATCCAGGATGCCGAACCATACATATAAATACCGACCGAAAACGAACAACATAGCCGGACGCCCTCCAGAGCTCCTTTTGGATTTCATATCACAAATCTAACAACGAATTTGACGATATTAGGATCTCTTCCGAACAAATCAATTAATACTTCTACACCTTTCGAGCTCACTCCTGATACTAGGTGGTTTTGTTTCGTATCCCGAATCGAGCCATTTTGAATATCAAAGACTTAAAAAATTCCCTCTGGAGCTCGAGTAGTATTCTCAAGGCCGCTTTTAGTCGCTCACACACGAATGCGATTATAAGCCTCAAATACCTGCGTAATCCCTTCCACAACAGCTTCTAATATTTCTCATAACTATACAAATGTCGCGAAAGTCGAAAAGTAGGGAATTCCTTCCGAGCAAGTCGGGTACAACAGGGCCCCGGAATGAACGAAATTCAATACTTTGCGGTGGACGATATAGGATATTGGCGTCATTATCTGTGTATTTTGTGGATCAGGATGGGAATGGCCTCCTATCTTCGATGAGGAATTTCAGGGGCATGGAACTTTCGGAGAGAGATCTCTGTGGATAAATTGATTTGATCTTATAGTAGAATGGCTTCGCTTTCATTTTCCTTCTTCTCAAAAAGCCTCTTGAGATCAGGGGTAAACGCATTTACGTGTGGGTCGAAGAGTAAATTCCTCGACCCCGGTCGCGTTGTGGTGATTGAGGCATGCAGGAAACATTCATATGGGTGAAAACAATACATGATGCAGCATATAAGCATTGATAGTTGATAGTCTTAGACACAACAAATTTTGAAGAAAAATTATTTTTCGAAATACACCCTTTTTATATCTCATTTGCACTAAACAAATCAGCATCAATCGAACGCAATTGTCCCCAAAGAAATTGAACCAGTAGTTGTTGTGATACTGTCGTCGACTTCCAAAAACACGTGAAACCACGCTAAAACGCGTGAAATTTTCACCCCCTTCATCAATGACGGGGACCACTCAATCGAACTTCCCAAAAGTGATCTTAGGCACTCCATGCCAAGTGAACTACACTGAACAAACCCATGAAAGAAGCAATAGCCCGCCATTCATCCTCTCCAGTCCTACCCCCTCCCAACCCTTCAACTTTCAAACCCAGTGCAATACCTTGAGCTCTGATGATCCATTCAAATCACCAATCAATCGCCCAACGCTCCAATTCAATAATAAACGAAGACGACAACCCAGCCACTCAGAACCCCGTATCAACTCACCAAAAGAAGCTATCCAAAAAGCTAGAAGTCTACTCATTCTAGCTGCCTCCCTAGAAGAGGATACCGAAGAACAATCGAAAGTCCTAGACTTAATCGAAATATTTCGTGAATATCTTGAAAAAGGAAAACTCACAAAAGCCTCAAATATCATCACATCACAAATCTCCCATCTAGAAAATGCCACCAAGCGGATCGAAAAGCAAGCCAACCACCTTTCAAACCTCCCCAGTCATATGATCCCCCCTATAATAAACGCCCCTGGAACCAAAGCTAGCTATGCCACTATCACCAAAACCTCAGAAGAATGGAACCTAATTACAAAGGGAAAACCCACAAAACAGAAAACTACAGAACAAAAGGAAGAAGCCCCAAGCAAACGACTAATCCTCATCAAACCTCTTATTTATCAGCCACCCTCTTTTACACCATTAAATACAAGGAATAAAGTCAACGAAGCCTTCAAGAAAGCAGAAATCAATGGACCAGTCATCTCAGCCATCACTACTACAAGGAGCGGCAATTTTATACTAACCACTAACAGCCCTTTCAATGCACAATTCCTGATGGAAAAGAAGGAAATCTGGGACAAAATCCTTGATGCCGAAAGAATACAAATCGATAAACCCTGGCATAAAGTCATCATTCACAAAATCCCAATTCAGGAATTCTCAGGTCTGAAAGGTATGGACCTAATCAAAGAGGAAGTCAATACCTTCAACCCAGGGCTCAGTATTATGGGTACTCCTTACTGGCTTACTAATGCCTCCAAGAGAGCCAAACAACAAGACGGAGCAATAGTCATTGCATTTGCTACACAAAAAGAAGCAGATATAGCTATCCAGAAAAGGCTATATATTGCAGGCATTAGTGTTAGAGTAGAAAGATTCTATCCATCTACTCCTTCATCCCAATGTAACAGATGCCAGGGATTCGGCCATAACGAATCATACTGCAAAAAACCTCCAGCTTGCGGACTTTGCAGTAATAATCATGCTACAGTCGGTCATTTCTGTATAATCTGCCAAGCAAAAGGCAAACCATGTCAACATCTAAGTGTCAAATGTGTTAATTGTAAAGGAGAACACAAAGCCAACTCGAAAGTATGCGAAGTATATCTATCAACCATCAAGAAATCCAACTAATGCTGTACAACAATACTCGCATTCTTCAAATCAATCTAAACAAGAGCCCTCAAGCAACCGAAAGTGCTCTTCAACTTGCTTTAGAACTCAAAATTGATCTCATAGTCATTCAAGAACCCTGGATCCTCTCGAATCCTGAGAAAGACTTCTCCTCAACCAGATCCATTGCCCACTCCAGCTTCTCTCAACTCCTCCCAAATAATCCTCCGAACCTGCGTCCCCGAACTATGATCTACATTTCAAAAGGATTCAAACCGCTAGTAGCCCTAGCTCCCAACTCCCCTAATGATCCAGATATTCAAATCATTGATATCACTCAAGGAAAACATACAATACAACTCATCAATATCTACAATGAAGCGGACCAAGCCAAAGAAAAAGGCCACACCATCGAAAGATGCCTTTACAATACCCCTCTTACTCATCACACCATCCTCGTAGGAGATTTCAACTCCCATCACCCTTGGTGGGACCCCTTCTCTAACAAAAGCTCAAATGCCGACCTACTCACCGAATGGTTTGAGGATCACAATCTCATTCTATTTAACGAACCAGGCACAAGCACCTTTTATCGAACAAATATGACAAATCCAAGTGTCTTAGACCTTACTTTAGCCACAGATTCAGTATCTCCCTATATCACTGATTGGCAAGTCCTCCCGGATCTTGGATCAGATCACTTAAGCATTCTCTTTGAAGTAAAGGGCACTTTATCCCGTACAACGAATATAGCTCAGCCAGCAAGATTCAATACAAAACTTGCGGATTGGGAAAAATTCGCGAATACCCTCAAATCGAAAATATCGATATCAACTACCTTAAATTCGAGTGAATACCTTAATATCGCTACCTCAGAATCCAACTCTCTTGATTCCCTTCTCGACAAGAGCCAATACATACAAGTATTGGATGATGCTGCAAAAGAATTCACCCGAATAATCACTTATTCGGCTGAAACCAGTATACCGAGAATCAAGTCCACAAAAAGAGCTAAACCCTGGTGGTCCCCAGAGCTGAAAGCCCTTCGAAAACGACTCTCTAATGCATTTGAGAACGCCAAACTTTACCCGGAAGACGATATGTTCAAGAAAATCTATCAGTCAGCCAGGAATCATTATTTCCAAGCTATTAAAACAGCAAAGAAAAACCATTGGAATGAGTTCCTTGAAAAAGAGGATACCCAATCCATATTCAAGGCAATGTCATACACAAAAGATATACAAACTGAACAAATCCCGAATATTCAATCCAATCCCTCTAAACTAGAAAATTCTTTCGAGGGAAAATGCTCTGCATTTAGATCGACCCTATTTCCTCCTCCCCCATTCACCCCACCGCCCAATTGGGAAAGCTATAAACAATCTAAGAAATGGGAATGGCCTGATCTTACAGAGAGCGAACTCCTAAACGCGTGCTCTGCAAAAATCAAAGGAAAGACCCCTGGCCCCGATGGGATCACTCAAGATATCATTATTCAAGCGTACAAAGCAATACCAAAAGCATTCTTCACCCTCTTCAGTCATCTTATCAACCTTGGTTACCATCCTTCTTGCTGGAAACAAGCCACTGGAGCGATACTCAAGAAACCTTCAAAACCAGATTACTCGGCCCCAAAAGCTTATAGAGTTATCGCCCTACTAAATTGCCTTGGCAAAATAAGTGAAAGAATTCTAGCTCAAAGGCTTAGCTACTTAGCGGAAACTACGCAATTACTTCATTACTCTCAAATGGGTGGAAGACAAAAGAAATCAGCCATCGATACAGCAATCTTACTCACTACCGAAATCGAAAGAAATTCAAGATCCAAGAAGAAAACCTCAACTCTCTTCCTGGATGTTAAAGGCGCCTTTGATCATGTATCTATGAACAAATTATTAGATATCTGCAAGAATCTAAACCTCCCAACCAGCCTAATCGCCTGGATCTCATCTTTTTTGAAGGAAAGGCTACTCAAGCTCTCATTCGATGGCCAAATTGAAACCTTCAAACCGATCAATACCGGGATCCCCCAAGGTAGCCCTATTTCGCCAATCCTCTTCTTAATTTATATTCGAGATCTATTCTCAGCAAATTCAATCAAATATCTCTCATATATAGATGATATAGCTTTAACAACATTTTCAACATCCTGGAAAAAGAACATCATCTCCCTCGAAAGAGCAACTAAACAGATATATGCTCTGGGCAAAGAAAATGCTATTCAATTTGATCTAGTGTTGGGTTTCTTGAGACTAGAAAGAGCATCAGATTGAATTGATTGATTTTCTAGCTGAGCAGTTAAGCTGCGAGTATATATTGAAAAAAAAATGAAGGAATAGGTTAGGTATTCGGCCTTCGGAATTAAAGTGCTTTGAAATCAAAATATTGAAAGCAAACAAACAGTATACCAAAAAGGAAAGAATGAATTAAAAGTTGAGTTTTGTTTGCTCCTTATATGCATCATGCAATATACATGCATATGCTGCCAAGATCCCAGGAGGTCAACATCTAGCGAAGACGGAACTAATACACTTCTCTACATCCAAAGATACGAAGACAGCCTCAATCAAGCTTCCGAACGAGGAGATAATTCAACCCTCAACACTAGTCAGATGGCTAGGCATATGGTTCGACCCTGGCCTCAGTTTCAAACAACATGTCACAATCCGAGCTACCCAGGCTAAAACCTCATTCTACCGAATGGCTAGACTTGCTAATTCTGAAAAAGGCCTTAGTCCCAAGGCAATGAGACAGCTCTATATGGCATGCGTCACCAGCATAGCTGATTACGGTTCAATTTTATGGTGGAAAGGGCAAAACCAATTCAAGAAAATCCTTCAATCCTTGCAAAACCTCGCCCTTCGAAAAATCCTAGGAGTATTCAAAACCTCACCAATAAAACCAATGGAAATAGAAGCCGCATTGTGCCCTCCAGAAGTAAGGCTTAATGCTGGAATCAAACAATACGCCTTCAGATTATTGAAAATCTCCCCTTCTCATCCTGTCAATTTAATAGCTACAAAGCTGGCTACAGAAAAGGAAAATCAAGATGTAGTTGCAACCCCTCAAAGAAAGCAATTAAAACCTACTCAACTCGAAAAGATCAAAAACTCAATCCAGAAAGACTTCGATCCCCTCACTTTGGAAAGAATTCATCATTTCTACTTCCCTCCTTGGAAGAAGGAAGTTCCATATAGAGTCAATATCAGCAAATTAGGAAAAGAAGAAGCTGCGATGATCCACAATCTGGCTTTCAAATATAGATGCAAAAATACCATTACCATATACACTGATGCCTCATCCACTCTAGAGGGAATAGGGGTTGGGATCGGGATAGTAGTCATCTTACCAAATGGCCGAATCTCATATCAAGAGACTATCAATATAGGCGTGAATCAGCTTGTCTATAACGGTGAGCTTCTAGGAGTTACTAAAGCGATCGAATACGCAAATTTAATAGCCCAGCCAGGAAACAAGTTCAAGATATACTCAGATAATCAAGCAGGATTATTCCGGCTGAAAACCCCTTCCGATTCACCTGGTCAATCATGCCAAATCAAAGCTATAAAAGCTGCGGAAGCTATTCAAAATAAAGGAGCCGAAATCTCTCTCAATTGGGTCCCCGGACATACATCTGTACAAGGAAATGAGCTAGCTGATTCTCTTGCAAAAGAGGCGACCAAAATACCATCCTCATCTCACGAAACCAGTTATGCCTTTATTGGAATGGATATAAAAAGAATGAAATCAGAGAACTGGATAGCCATCCTTAACACTAACAACTTTCATCAACCATCGTCAACATATTCAAGAAACTACCCCTGGAAGATCAGCTCAAAAATCAGAGTTCCAGGAAACATCAAAAGAAGCACAATCTGTGCTCTGTTCCAACTCAAAATTGGACACGGATACTTCAAATCTTATTTGAAACGATTCGGTATCTCCTCTAATGACAATTGTAGATGTGGGGGAAAGGAATCTCCTGATCATCTTCTGCTCAGTTGTCCTTTATATAAAATGGCAAGGAAAACCCTCAATAAGGATAACCCCACAGTCCGACCTACCATGAAATATCTGCTTCACACTAAAGCAGGAATCATCAAGACCCTCGAATTTATCGAGGCGACGAGAATAGCCACCAGATCATGGCACCTCAATAGAATGCATGAAGAAGAAGAGGAAGAAGGTGGAGAAGAAGGGGGTGGACCGGAAGATTGTGATTGAATTGATCAATTATGGCCAATTTGGTCAATTTGGTCAATTTGGTCAATTTGGTCAATTTGGGCAATCACCCTAATGTCAAATTTCATTACATTTCATTTGTTATTCCTCTTACTTGAATACGAGAGTATCTGTAAGGCGGGCTTGGTTCCCTAGTATTAGTTTTCACTTCCCCCATTCAAACATTAGAAGATTGAGGCTTTCAATCTCCCCAACCTGTATTAGCTACGGTCGAATAAGGCCAGCCACCCTCCATTTACTATTGTTAGAAGCCTACAAAGCTCCTAGCCGTCTTAGATAATCATAGACTCAGTGTAGACGTTAAAAAAAAAAAAAAAAAAAAAAAAAAACTACCACATCACTACACTAGAACATATTGGAATCAAGGTGGCAAATAGAAAGTCTATATAATCATAGACTTCCCCCAACCTCTCTGTTAAAGAGAGAGAAAAAAAAATAAAAGGATATTATATTCAAGACATAAATAAGTTAGTCAAAAATGGATATATTGAAACTGATTTTTACTTAGATAATATGAAATTTTCACTCAAATTTCAGAAATAAAATGCCACCGGTGGAAAATGCCATGACTATAACTCTGTTACAAAAATATGCACTAGTTGGCCGATAGTCTGGAGGTAGCCAAAAAATATTTCGGACTTCTTCATCTAATCTTTCAGCTATCCAATGATTTGATATAAAGTACCGTTCAAAGGCTGAGGATGCCTCTAAACCCGAATGATTTTTGAGAGTTTGAAGCGATTCGCCCGTCGCTGCATCCCAGAGCCGGATTGTTTGATCGCCAGAGCCCGAAGCTACTTTTGTACCATCCGGTGAGAAGGCAACTGATCTAATCCAACCTGTATGACCCTCGAGCGTTTGAAGCCATTCGCCCGTCGCCGTGTCCCAAAGCCGGATTGTTTGATCGGAAGAGCCTGAAGCTATCTTTGTACCATCTGGTGAGAAGGCAACTGAAGAAACCGAACCCGAATAATCCTCGAGCGTTTGAAGCCATTCGCCCGTCGCCGTATCCCAAAGCCGGATTGTTTGATCGGAAGAGCCTGAAGCTATCTTTGTGCCATCTGATGAGAAGGCAACTGAATTAACCGAACCCGCATGACCCATGAGCGTTTGAAGCCATTCGCCCGTCGCCGTATCCCAAAGCCGGATTGTTTGATCTTCAGAGCCTGAAGCTATCTTTGTACCATCCGGTGAGAAGGCAACTGATCTAATCCAACCTGTATGACCCTCGAGCGTTTGAAGCCATTCGCTCGTCGCCGTGTCCCAAAGCCGGATTGTTTGATCGTAAGAGCCTGAAGCTATCTTTGTACCATCTGGTGAGAAGGCAACTGACCAAACCGAACCCGCATGACCCATGAGCGTTTGAAGCGATTCGCCCGTGGCCGTATCCCAAAGCCGGATTGTCTGATCGTAAGAGCCCGAAGCTACCTTTGTACCATCTGGTGAGAAGGCAACTGAATTAACCCCACCCGTATGACCCTCGAGCGTTTGAAGCGATTCGCCCGTGATCGTATCCCAGAGCCGGATTGTCTGATCGGAAGAGCCTGAAGCTACCTTTGTACCATCTGGTGAGAAGGCAACTGAATAAACCCAACCCGAATGACCCATGAGCGTTTGAAGCGATTCGCCCGTCGCCGTATCCCAGAGCCGGATTGTCTGATCGGAAGAGCCTGAAGCTACCTTTGTACCATCTGGTGAGAAGGCAACTGAATAAACCCAACCCGAATGACCCTCGAGCGTTTGAAGCGATTCGCTCGTCGCCGTATCCCAGAGCCGGATTGTCTGATCAGAAGAGCCTGAAGCTACCTTTGTACCATCTGATGAGAAGGCAACTGAATAAACCCCACCCCGATGACCCTTGAGCGTTTGAAGCGATTCGCCCGTCGCCGTATCCCAGAGCCGGATTGTCTGATCGTAAGAGCCTGAAGCTACCTTTGTACCATCTGGTGAGAAGGCAACTGAATAAACCCCACCCCGATGACCCTTGAGCGTTTGAAGCGATTCGCCCGTCGCTGCATCCCATAGCCGGATCGTCTGATCGGAAGAGCCTGAAGCTACCTTTGTACCATCTGATGAGAAGGCAACTGAATTAACCGAAGACGAATGACCCTTGAGCGTTTGAAGCGATTCGCCCGTGGCCGCATCCCAGAGCCGGATTGTATGATCTTCAGAGCCTGAAGCTACCTTTGTACCATCTGATGAGAAGGCAACTGATCTAACCGAACCCCGATGACCCTTGAGCGTTTGAAGCGATTCGCCCGTCGGCCGCATCTCAGAGTCGGGATTGTATGATCTTCAGAGCCCGAAGCTACCTTTGTACCATCTGATGAGAAGGCAACTGACCAAACCGAAGACGAATGACCCTTGAGCGTTTGAAGCGATTCGCCCGTGGCCGTATCCCAAAGCCGGATTGTCTGATCGTAAGAGCCCGAAGCTACCTTTGTACCATCTGATGAGAAGGCAACTGAATAAACCCCACGCCGATGACCCTTGAGCGTTTGAAGCGATTCGCCCGTCGCCGTATCCCAGAGCAGGGATTGTTTGATCGTAAGAGCCTGAAGCTACCTTTGTACCATCTGATGAGAAGGCAACTGAATAAACCCCACGCCGATGACCCTTGAGCGTTTGAAGCGATTCGCCCGTCGCTGCATCCCAGAGCCGGATTGTCTGATCGTAAGAGCCCGAAGCTACCTTTGTACCATCTGATGAGAAGGCAACTGAATAAACCCCACGCCGATGACCCTCGAGCGTTTGAAGCCATTCGCCCGTGGCCGTATCCCAGAGCCGGATTGTTTGATCGTAAGAGCCTGAAGCTATCTTTGTACCATCTGATGAGAAGGCAACTGAATAAACCCCACCCCGATGACCCTCGAGCGTTTGAAGCGATTCGCCCGTGGCCGCATCCCAAAGCCGGATTTTTTGATCTTCAGAGCCCGAAGCTACTATTGTACCATCTGGTGAGAAGGCAACTGAATTAACCCAATTCGAATGACCCTCGAGCGTTTGAAGGGCGGCACTCCAACTCGATCTTGTCCTTGATATTTTATAAATCCAACTCGGGATACTTTTTTGAAATATTTTTCGAATAATACTATTCTCTGGAGCAAAGAAAAGGGCTGAGCAATAGATTTGAAGAGGAGCTTGTTCAATTCCTACTCGGTTATAAAGGACGAAGCGCTTGGCATCATGAATATAAGCGGAAAGTTCAGGAGCTTTCTCAACCTTCACATTTATCAGTTGAAGTTATTTGAAGCTATTTGAAGCTGTTTTGACTTACCAAGATATAATTTTCTAAAGAACTTATTGCAACAATGCACCCAGAAATGTTTTCCATCAAGCTCATGACCTCCAACCAATGCAACAAATGCTCTGTTAGAAAATTATAGACTTTGCTATTATTTTGAATATGGTTTTCTGTTTTTGGGGGATTTCCATCTATAAAATGATTGACCCAGTAGGTACATGAATATCGTATATACGCTAGTGGGTCAGGATCGGGTTGCTTGACTTTGTTAATAGGGAAGCCTGGATGACACAAGTCGTATATATTCTCTTTCAATATATTGCTCATTTCTATTATCGAATTTAGAAATATCTTCTCATTTACCTTGCCGATCCCATTTGGAAATATTGTCTCAGCAGCATTTTCTGATAGGAAATCCTTTGCCGACTTATGAACGAAGAAGATACTCTGATTACGAACGACCAGAAAGGAGCCACAAAGTTGAATGATTTCTTCCAAATCAATCTCCGATCCGATCAGACGTGGCAACTCGCAGAGCGTAATAGGTCGAAAGGCTACTACTACAATAGCCATAAGCTGAAGGCAGAGCTCAGTTACTCCATGCTCTTTTATATTTAGAATTTGCTGTAGCATGCGTTCGTATAAGGGATCCAACTCTGGAGGGTAATAATCTTGTAACATTGAAATCGTGAAGAATCGAAGTTCTTGAAGATTTTGGCAGACCAAAGCCACCCAAAGGAAGGTCCCGTTCGCATTCTCTAGGAGATATGATTCAACCGTCGTTCTATTTTTTTTAATACTTTTTTTTATCCTTGCAAGCTTTTCCACTCTATCTCTTACATACCAATCGACAGCAATAGATACTGTGTGGGTATTTAATTCGAGATTGAGCGACGTTCTCTCCTCAATCGGCCCTAGTGCCTCTTCAATTTCAGACCAGTTACGACTAGAGACAAGCCACTTAACGCGAGGAAACTCAGTTAGGCTGGAAACAATCAGGCGAAGTAATTTGACCATATCCTTTTCGCATTCGTCAAGTGCATCAATAATCAAGATTATTGGCTTCAAACTCTTGTCATGCAAGATGTTCTTCAGAATATTAGAGAGCGCCACCCATGCATTGATACCTTCAAATAACTGCTTCCCTGGCACCTCATATTCCTTTTGTAAATGCCGAATGAGGAAAGGCTGTTCATCTAAGAGCATATAAATAAGGCCACGTAGGACGGAGATAGCACTATTAATGGTATCGACGTTACTTTGGCAGAAGAAATAGGCTAAGGCGTAATTATTTGATGTCCGTATTTCGTCTATGATACCACATAACAACATAGTCTTACCCTTCCCAGGATCTCCTCTCACCCATAGCAAGCGGTTGCTTTGGTCGTTGTACCATTGTTGGTATTCCGTGTTTTGGAAGACCCATTCGTATACCTTAAAGAGCAGTCCTCCTTTAAGTTCCTCGATGCGTTGTTTGTCCTTTCGTGGGTCGGTGATGAACAGATCAATTAGGCAGCGCTTATCTAGAGAGGGCTCGATCACACCGTTGAGCCTCCTGAATGCATTATCCCTTCCCTCGCCATAGATAACTGACATAGATACTTCAAAGATACCAAGCAAGCTATATGCTGCGTCTTCTTCTCTCGTCGAAATTCGGTTTTCCGCCCATTTCATTCTATCATCAACACTAAACTTCGATAAAGGAACTCCTTGGAGCGCTTCAATAGCAATTCCCGTGATCTCATGTATAATCAACTTCAGAGATTCCCTATCACCAAGCCTACAACAATCCCGTGAAAAGAACTCGATTGATATTGGAGCCAGGAGTTCTTGGAGCGTCCATCCTCTTGTAAACCATCGGCTGGCCCGAAAACGCCCTTCCCACACGCTTTGTGGTTGCTCTACACCATTTTGAACGACCTCTACATCTGATAAATAGACATAGCATTTTCTAGCCTTCCCATACCAGCGGAACATAGAGTTCAGAGATTCGGTCAACTCAGAGTCGCTCGTCTTTTTAATGCAACAAGTATCCACCCAGAAATAATCGATGTTGTCATAGGCAGCCTGTTTTCCGCAAAACTGGAGCTTCTCATAACCGGTTTTTTCTTTGCCATTACCTGAGTTTATATCTTCGAAATTGACTTCCTGTTCGTCACTCCCCCATGTATGTGAGAGAATGGCATAAGGAGGAATATTGTTATCTAATAGTGCTTTGGTGAGCCGATATCCGTCAGCATTATCGCACTCTAGCAAGCGCATTTTAGGATTTGGAGTATGCTAAGTTGAGAGATCAGTAGATAATGATAAAATACACAGCAGGAATCAATATAGCGCTGATGTCTTGAAGTTGCCCTTGATCATAGATTATCTCGAGAAATTTGTGTGACAACACAACTATTGTGAGGTGTCGAAGGTTATTACCTTTTGGAATGTGGGGTTATGCAGGTCAAGCTGACTCACGGCGAGAATGCTCCGACGTTACATTGTCTTTCTGGCTGTATTGCCGACTTTCTCGCCATCATATGTATTGCCGACTTTCTCGCCGTCATATGTATTATTACGATGATCTACAACATGGCTAGGGAAAAGACACTCTCCATATTTTTTTTTGGCATGGCTGTAAATCGCAATGCTATTAGCTGGCTGAGAGGCTAATTTGTGTACAAGTGACCGTTCGGTAGCACTATTCAACTCTCTATTATTCGAAAGATTGAGGGCTAAAAGCTCTGCTTCATTCATATTTTGACTGAGAGCAGGAGTACTAGCAGATGGTACTGATTTAGGTACTCTTCGGCCTCTGCTATTAGGTCCATGATGTACAGAAATGATGCTATTGGAGGAGGGGGGGTACGAGTAGTAATTTGGTTGGAAGTCATGATGATTGATGATAATTTGGGATGTTTATGGCTCTACACTAATCTATAGGGATAATCTATGGATTTAATAACTATAATGACACAAAGGGAACAATTCTACGATCATTTTGAAGCAAGGAATGAAAGAATCAGGTGGAAAAGTGATAGGAATGATGCTGTCACTTCAAAGAAGAAGCCCATTTTGAAGCATTCCAGAGGTGGAAATTAGAATAAAGAATAAGTTCCTTAAGTTCTTTCAATAAGTAGAATACCATACAATCCTGTCGGGATTGGCTAGACTTATGATGGTGATGCTATACCCAAATTCTTTATTGAATAAAGGGATAAGTGAAGGATGATTAAGCAAGGGGATCCCGCGAGGGAATTTTCCGATCCCGGCAACCTGACACAAGGCTCAATAGTAGAAATGGTTGAAGTCTTAGTACCCAACTCAATACAATAGTGTTGACCTCCTGGGATCTTGGCAGCATATGCATATATATTGCATGATGCATATAAGGAGCAAACAAAACTCAACTTTTAATTCATTCTTTCCTTTTTGGTATACTGTTTGTTTGCTTTCAATATTTTGATTTCAAAGCACTTTAATTCCGAAGGCCGAATACCTAACCCTATTCCTTCATTTTTTTGAATATATACTCGCAGCTTAACTGCTTAGCTAGAGAATCAATCAATTCAATCTGATGATCTTTCTGGTCTCAATAAACCCAATACCTGTTAATAAATTCCTAATATCCCACCTTTACTGCAAATATTGTTTTGTTAGGAATTAGATACGGGATAATACACGGATGAAAGTTGAGTACCTGGCAATATAAGAAATAGGTAGATGTTCTATTCGCTGAATCAATATCCAACCAGCCTGACGTTCTTCTCGCTTTTCATTGCGAGGATCAGAGGGTGGTCGGTTGTTTTGCTTTTGATTGGTTGTTTCTACCAGTGAGCGAGTAGATGCTTCACAAAAAAAGTGCGAAATAAACGGCAGAGTACTGGATATAAGCATATCTATAAAGTGCTGATCCCTCCGTACTATACTACTGAGGAGATAACTCATGTTGTGTACTCTAGAACAAAACTATGGATTTCCAGCAGGCACCTCCACGTGGTATAATTTTCGACCTTAGAGATGTCCTCTTCAAATGGTCCGCCAAAACAACGACGACTATTTCACCTCGAACGCTGAGAGAAATTTTCAAAACGCCAGTCTGGAATAGCCATGAGCTGAGTTCTAATCATTTTTCTATCCCTGTGACTATGATCGCTGAGGCTTTTGCCCAGGCATGTAAATCTTTAAAATCCGATCGAAAAATAGTTTCGTTTCTTCACGAATTGAAAAAAGATTCTGCTATTCAAGCATATGCCATGTCAAACGTGGGCAAAGAGGATTTTGAAGATCTCGCAACTAAGATGGATTTGCTCCTTTTTGATCGAGTATTCACTTCAGCGGCGGTAGGAATGAGAAAGCCAGAGCTAGGATTTTATAACCACGTTTTAGAGCAGATATGCTTAAATGGGAGTCAAGTAGTGTTTGTTGATGATAAGGAAGATAATGTGAATGCAGCACGACAGTTGGGTATTCGGGGATATGTTTTTGGAGAGTCGACGATTCATATGTTAAGCGAGATATTTGATAGCCCGGTTAGTAAGGGCTCGAGATATCTATTTCAGAATGCGAAGCATTGTGACTCGATCACTATGAGTGGAGTCACTTTTGCGGATAATTTTGCGAAATTGCTGATTTTGGATTCGTTACAAGACCTGTAAGTCAGTATTTTGCGAGTTACGCAGATGGATATTCTATAAAATAACGACTTACATCTGCTGTTAGGATTCTCATGGATCTCAGTTGGGGGTCCAAAGAGACTTGGAATTTTTTTGCCGGTAAGGAATCTGTTTCGCATAGAAACATACTGAAGAACCAGGCGGCTGATAAAGGAATATTGTAAGGCAAGACAGTGCTTATTCCAGGAGGTCTTTTTCCTGATGATCTTGACACTACATACCTCGCTCTGACAGTTCTGCGACCATCATCAACCAAAACCATTTCATCACTTCTCGACACCATGGCCGAATATGTCAACGATGACGGTACTTTCCAGGCAAGCCATCCAGGTGCTAGTTTACACCAGAATGACAATGACGGAAGCTTGTTTGCTAAACAATGCACTAGACGTATTTCGACAGGAATAAAAAACGAGTTGATCCAATTGTCAGCGCCAACATCCTCGCTTGCTTTTATCATTACAATCGTGGGCACGAATTCGAGCGTACCCTCCAGCTTGTACGCTCGATGCTCTTAAATTGTTCCTATGTGCGAGGGACGCGGTACTATTCATCACCAGATTGCTGTCTAGGGTTCATCGGACGCCTGCTCCGCTCATCCAGCGATTCTCACCTGCATAAAACGTTAGGACCACTCTTGAAGTTACGGATACGTGAACGTCTTGGTCTGGATGGTAACGCATTAGATTTGGCTATGCGGATTGTCACGTGCAGTCAGTTGGGTATTGAATGCGAAGATGATCGCAAGGCTTTACTTAACTTGCAGTGTGAGGATGGGAGTTGGGAAGCTGGATGGATGTATCAGTATGGGAGGGATGGGATGAAGATTGGGAATTGTGGGGTCACGACAGCTATGGCTGTTGCGGCACTGTCGTCTCATGATATTGTTGGTTGTGACCAAAAGGGTGTTTATAGACCAGCAATTGTATTTAACTTAGAATCTACAGGTGAAGAGCACCTGTAGATGGGGATAGCTACTCTATATATACACAAATGAATAGCCTAGCCGCAATAGCTAGGCAAAAAGAAGTCATATTTATTCCTCCAATGATCTTACTTTACCGATAACCATTGATACCTAGTACTTGTCCGGATCTGATCCTCAGGTCACCTAAATCGCATACTAATCTCGAGTAATCGTATCATATGTGGACATGATTAATGTACCTGAGGTTTCTTATATAATAAGGGTGGGAGTGTTACGAGGGTAGCCGTCTTGATCACGTGGAAGTGCTCTAGGCTCTCGAGGTAGGTTTATAACTAGGCGTCAAGTAGGGACTTAAAGTAATGACAATAATGATATGCTATTCGTAACTAATAGTAGAGTATACTAAATGATTGATCTTGAGCACGAAGCTCTATACAAAGGAAATCCATCTTGATTATATAGACCTTCATGCTTCTATGATCACTACTGATCACTTTTAATCACGTGCCTTGGTCATGTAATGGTAGTGTTACGAGGTTTGCCGTCTAGATCACGTTGAAGTGCTCTAGGCTCTCGAGGTGGTTTATAACTAGGCGTCAAGCAGGGACTTAAGTAATGACAATAATGATATGCAATTCGTAACTAATAGTAGGATATACTAAATGATTGATCTTGAGCACGAAGCTCTACACAAAGGAAACCATCCTGATTATATAGACCTTCGTCCTCCATTGGATCTCTTGGGTCCTGAGAGTTTGTGGACCTTCGATTCGTATGGACCTACGATTCGTATCCCTGAATATGCAGGGTCCATCACGTGACTTGGATCAGACTATATGTCTGTGCTTGCTGAAGGTGGGGAGACCCTACGAACCGATTACCATACAAAATTGTATGCGAATCGGTTTGCTTTTCCACGGGGTCTAAGCTCATATGGACAGGTTGACTGTTACTACGTAACATTAGACTTATATAGAGTCTACAGAAAAACAGTAGCCAGGCTACCGGCTTGTGTTTTGGGGTTTGGATTGGGTGTGAAAGGACGCACAATCAAGAGTATAAATGTAAAGATCATTAATCAAAATAGATAGATATTTTGATGATATAGCCTTGTATCCATTACTTGGATACATATATATATATATAAGAGCATAAACAATTCCATTATAGAGAAAAATGGGATAATCAATTTGAAGCTAAATAAAAAATGATATTAATAAAAAGTGGTCATCACCTCCCACAGACCAAACTGGATATTAGACTCAAAAACTTATTCTTATTCCCAGTCGATGGATGTGGATGGATGGATGGATGATAAGTTCTTACGATTTGCGCCTGTTCAGGAAAATTTTCAGATGTGCAACAAAATTTATTTAGAGTGGAGCTAACACGTGATGCTTTACAGAGGACGGGTGATGGGCTTCACCGTAGGCGCGTGATATATATTTAACACTTCATGTGAGGATATTAGATTAGATGAATAGAGATGGATGAGAAACTTTTCTCTGTACATTTGATAGCTTTACAATCAAAATTGAAAATGAACACTTGATGCTTTTGATCTCGTGAACGGCACCTCTCGATAGGTACCTAGATAGGTATGTAGGTATTTAACCACGTGATTTGAATGAGAACCTGGAATCTTAATAAATAGAGAAACCTTAAACTAACTTGCCACATTTACATCCCAGAAACGCGTGATCATTAACAAGCCATATTTAAACTTTAGAATATGATGAAGTGATGATGTCAGTATCTAGTGGCTTAGCACCAGCTCATCGCCCGCGCCCAGAAAATCCGTCATCTGTTTTCAGCTGTAAGAAAAAGGCGAAGCATAAATATTCAGACGCATAAGCTTTCAAATGTATATGACTGCTGCATGCACCAATGACATTTGGAATATCTCCTACCGTATCCGTACTCATAGGTATTGAAAAATTGAAATACAATACTGGGCAATATAGTATGTAGGTATGCATCAGGGTATGTAATAAGATACCCGCAGACGAGACAAACACATACGTGTAGCGTAGTATTTTGCAGTATGTATGATAAAAGCTCCGGAGTGTATAAAGGAAACGGGATAGATGAGCTGTTGAACAAAGAAAACAAATACATATAAAATGCTTGGCACACGGTAGATCTATACTAGGTACGTATAATAGGAAAGCAAGAAAAAGAATGCCATGCCTTTTTGCCATGCTTTTTGGGCCATGGAATTGAATACTAAGGTAGGGCAGTGCCTGAATGAGTCGTAAGAGTTATTAGGTTCAGAATCTTGGAAAAGTTGGATTTTGGCTTTGGGGATTCATCGTTTCGGTATTAAAATACCTACCTAGCTACTCTACTTACCTTACCTACTTATACATCATCTTGGGATTGTTTTTAATTGTTTTCGATTTTTGCTTTCTGGTATATTTGTTGACAAGATACGATACTATTTTACAACTTCACAAACATCAATCATTAATTATCTACCTACCTAGAGAAAGATTCACGACAATACAGCACAATACAATATGGGTGTTCTTCCAATCGATACTCGTGAAGCTTTACATTTGAATGAGCTTCATTCAAGAGCTACCTGTTACCGTCGAGGATACGGGTTCGTATTTTCCTTCTCCCTCTCTTCCCTCTTCATTTCATTCATCAAAACTACAAATCTGATCTCAATAAATCTATAAATCCCAAACTAACCCCCAAAAAGCTACTACAGATGTAATTCCGCCTGGTACCGATTCGGCCGATGGATTCTAGCCGGTATACTCATATTCGTCGGTCTCATACTCTTATTTGCCATTATGTATGTATTAATCCTTCCTTTCTTCTTTCCTCTCCTCACCCTCACCTCATTTAATATAACATCAAAAACTAACAACATCCCAGGTGCATCACCAGAAGACGACGTCGTCGCAATCAAATTCGCTCCGGTAATACACCCATGACATATAATCAATCTAATACCTACGGTCCCTCCGCACCCAACAACTATAATTCGCAATCGCAACAACAGTATGCGCCGCCTGCGGGGGCACCACCGAATTATGGGGGTGGCAATCAGGATTATTATGGCGCGAGTGGCGTGACGCAGCCGCAGAATACGTATGCGAAGTAGGGTTTGAGGAGTGTGGAGGATGGGTTGGGTTGGGATGGGGTTTGGTCTGCTTTATGAATTTGCGAATGGATATGGGAAGGGTCTATGGGAATGGATATGGATATGGAACGGATATGGAACTGGAACAGGAGCACAATAATGATGAAACGATGCGTGGTTTGAACGATGGGAATGTTTGTTATGAATGGATATGGATATTGATATTGATATCACAATGGAATGAAATGGAAAGGACAGGATAGGATAGGATAGGATAATACAGGAATAGCAGAATAATAAACTAAGGAGTATATTGGCGTTCATTCGCGCTGATTTATTTATTATTAATAAGGGATTCTGGAAATGATAAGGTTACTGCATAAGTAAGTAGTGAGTGTAGTTTTATAAAATAATAGATGATGGATGATGGATGGTGGTAATTAATGAAATTTTTTCATTTTGGATTTTCTCATTCTTGTTATTCTTGTTATTCTTATTTTCGTCATTCGGCATATATACTAGTGTCACGATTCACCATTAGGATTAGTGTCCTAGGATAAAAGGGAATCACGTGATAAGGAGCCAGAAGGCTCCTGGGGGTTCCCTTTATCGTTCATTATATAGTCAGAGTAGTTTCATAGTATAGGAGCTTGGTGCTCAACTTAGTTATCAATTAGTCTACCTACATTCTACTTGATCTAGTAACGACTTCACTTCCAAGTGAATACCAGTGATAAAGCCTTAACCCATAACTACCAAGCAGACGAAACCTTAGGCAGCCGCTTGTTACGTAGTAACAGTCAACCTGTCCATATGAGCTTAGACCCCGTGGAAAAGCAAACCGATTCGCATACAATTTTGTATGGTAATCGGTTCGTAGGGTCTCCCCACCTTCAGCAAGCACAGACATATAGTCTGATCCAAGTCACGTGATGGACCCTGCATATTCAGGGATACGAATCGTAGGTCCATACGAATCGAAGGTCCACAAACTCTCAGGACCCAAGAGATCCAATGGAGGACGAAGGTCTATATAATCAGGATGGTTTCCTTTGTGTAGAGCTTCGTGCTCAAGATCAATCATTTAGTATATCCTACTATTAGTTACGAATTGCATATCATTATTGTCATTACTTAAGTCCCTGCTTGACGCCTAGTTATAAACCACCTCGAGAGCCTAGAGCACTTCAACGTGATCTAGACGGCAAACCTCGTAACACTACCATTACATGACCAAGGCACGTGATTAAAAGTGATCAGTAGTGATCATAGAAGCATGAAGGTCTATATAATCAAGATGGATTTCCTTTGTATAGAGCTTCGTGCTCAAGATCAATCATTTAGTATACTCTACTATTAGTTACGAATAGCATATCATTATTGTCATTACTTTAAGTCCCTACTTGACGCCTAGTTATAAACCTACCTCGAGAGCCTAGAGCACTTCCACGTGATCAAGACGGCTACCCTCGTAACACGATTTTTGGTGTATTTTCGCTTTCTGTGCGGTAAGTGATGGCCGGAACTCTTACCTACAGAGAGCCGATCGCCCAACTGAACATCTAATAATCCCACAGTACCATGCATAATGGGACTCTGCCAAATAAATTACGATTTCCAAATACGCTAATACCAATTTGGTAATATCATATCATTCATGCATTCGCAAAAAGTTAATTACGAATTATTCTAAAACCTTATTACTTGTCATATTTAATGTTACCTGATGAGGTAGCACAATACCAGTGATCACTGACCGACAGCTGCATATCAGCCACAATTCTACGCCTCCCCCGCCTTCATTCCAAGGTTAAAGTTACCTAGAGTTTCCTCCTAGGCTTCCGGGTGATGGTAGACGAGGGTGCGCATGCTTCGATCAATCGACGCTTTTTGTCAACCTGAATGAACAGTATTTCGATTTCTTCTTTCCAACTGTCATAGATGGGTGTAAATAAAAGTTACAGTACTATCAATTTTCAAGAATCTTCAAAATTACTTCATAAACGCAAAATCTGAATGTGCAAGTCCTTTCAGGTACTCTCTATTCTCCACCATGGATACACTAGGCAGATTTTCCCAAGTGGCAGTTTATGCTCTCGGTATCATATTGCCATTGGTAAGTAAACCTCTCAGTATCCCATCCACGATGATAGCAACTAAAATCTATCGCTTTACTCTACTAGAGCATTTTTGCTCTTAGCTACCAACTTGTACTTCACCCATTGAAAAACTACCCCGGCCCGTTCATCGCCAAATTCACAGATGGCTATGGTGGCTATCACGCCGTTAAAAAGCGTCTTCACCTTGCTACATATTTCGACCATTTGAAATATGGTACATCTATTCAGTAGTGCTTTACCTAGAAAATGCTCGAGTTTTGAAAATAATCAACCCTAACTACTATCAAACAGGCCCCGTATATAGACAAGCTCCCAACCGTCTAGTATTCAACACCTCCAGCGCTTTACGAGGTAATTTAACCCCCTTTTCCCCCTCTCCAACTAAAACATTTAGCATTAACCTACCCAGCAATCTACCTCCACCCCTCCATAAACAAAGCCCATATCTACACTCACACCCAATTCAACCCCCAAGCCAACATTTTCGGCACACTAGAACGAGAACGTCATCGCCAAAAACGTAAGATATACGGACAAGTTCTTTCCGAACGTTCATTGCGTTCTTTTGAGCCTACTATGAGTAGCGAGATTGATGTGTTCTTAAAGCTATTGTTGGATACTAAGAAGGAAGTTGTTAATATGTCCCCGCTGTGTGAACGGCTTACGACGGATGTGGCTGGACAGTTGGCTTTTGGACAGCCGCTTGATACGCAAACGGAGGAGAGGAATAGGGCGTTTCCGAGAGCGATGATTTTTATGAATGGGCTTGTTAGTGTTTTTAGTGAGTAGATCGTGGTTTCTTCGTCTGGAAATGTGTTTCAAAATAAAGTACCAGTCCTTATCCCCGACGTCTGTCGTTTTCTGCTTCAAGAAACCAACTAACTATCTACCACACAGTGGCTTGGCCAATAATGTCAAAAACATGGCCACTCCTCCGACGACTCAATCGGAAGAACGGCGTGGCATTTTCTAAGTCAATACAGAGTATAATACAAAGGCGCGTAGCTCTTCCTCAGGACGCAAAGCATGATTTCTATTCTATTGCAGGAGGGGAAGTCGGTGAAGATGTGGAGAGTCTTGGGCGTAGCGAATTATGGGCTGAAGCTGTATTTTTTATTCCCGCGGGTAGGTTATGTCGATTTTCCTAGTCCTTCTCTCGAACCATTGAATTCCCTCAAAATCGGCTTTTGCAGTGACTCTTCCTATGCTCACTAGGGGCGTCTCTTCAAACCTACACTATCCATGATGGGTATCATTAACACTAAATATATCCTCCCAGGCGGCACAACCCTCTCCACAGCCCTCAGCTCCCTCTTCTTCTATCTCTCCCGCCACCCCACTGCCTACACTCTTCTCACCACCGAAGTCCGCGACACCTTCTCCTCCAGCTTTGGCATAAAAAGTGGAGCCCAACTGTCCTCATGTAAATACCTTCGAGCCTGCATCGACGAAACATTACGAATGGCACCACCATTCCTAGCCACATTTTGGCGCGAACCTTTTTCGGATTATACAGAACCTTTTGTGGTGGATGGACATGTCATACCGCGTGGTACAATGGTTGGAGTCAATCCGTATTGTGTGATGCATAATGAGGAGTATTTTCCAGAGCCATTTGCGTTTCGACCGGAGAGGTGGTTGGTATCTGAGAAAGGAAGCTTTGGGTGAGTTTATTCGATTCTTTGATATTAACTCCTATTTTAATCCCATACTTTCTTTTTATCTTTTGCGTCTTTATTACTTCTACTCTCCTCATTCTAGCCCCTTTCCCCTCCAACCTCCCTTTCATAGACAACAACTAACTTCCCACCCTCTCAACAGCACCCCAAAAGAAGAGCAAAACCTCGCCTCCATGCGCGCAGCATTTGCCCCCTTCGCCCTAGGAGATACCGGCTGTCTCGGCAAAGCAATGGCCTATCATGAGATCAGTCTCGCAATCGCGAAAACTTTATGGTATTTTGATTTTGAAAAAGCATCAGGCGAAGCTGGTAAGCTTGGTGAAGGACAGCCAGGGAATATGGATGGGAGAGATAGGGTGGATGAGTATCAATTATTTGATCTTGCGGTTGCGGATCATGATGGTCCGAATTTGATGTTTATACCGAGAGAGGAGTATTGGCGGGAATTGGGTGATGAAGGTTTGAAGGTGTAGGTTGAGTCTGGGGGTTTTTTATTACTGATGACTTCGGTATTGATCAGGTTAATTACTACTCTACTCGTTTAATCTTTATCGTCTATTCCCGCTCTCACATTGCTTCAATTGCCAGTCTAGTTTCTTATCCGTTTCTAACTTTAACCCTTCTTCACCGTACCCTAACCCATTTCGCGGCATTTCTCCGTTACCTGACCGCCCTCATTCTCCTTGCTCTCCATTAAAAAAAGACACATCCCCTCATTCCAATAGTAAACAGGTCTTTCTGTCCGGTTTCCCTCCTCATCAATCATGTCTGCCATGCAGGTTTTGCGTTTGACGATTTGTCACCAATCGCGAAGTCGCCCATTGAAGAAAGCTTATTCGTGTTGATGTCTTTTGATTGTGGACCGAACCTAACATTGTATTGTGTCACAACTGATCGGTCGTTCAGGTTGTAAGAACCCTTTTGCGATTGCAACAATTTTGATTGAGGTCCATATTTCCAGATATACTTACACCACCTTATAGTAAAATAATGCATCAGGCTCAGTTGTCTTTGTAACTCATTTAAATGATTAAACATTATTATATATATAAAAAATTAAAATTTAATTTTCTTATAATATATTTATTGAGAAAGATTTAAAAGTTTTAAAAGTTTTTTATTTTTAATTTAAGTGAATAATTGTAACGATACTATACTGGAGGCAGCGGCTGCCTAAGGTTTCGTCTGGTTGGTAGTTGTGGGTTAAGGCTTTATCACTGGTCTTCACTTGGAAGTGAAGTCGTTACTAGATCAAGTAGAATGTAGGTAAACTAATTGATAACTACGTTGAGCACAAAGCTCCTTAAATACGAGACTAAATGAATGTTTATATACCCTATATCATCTTTTGAGGACCTTTGGGACCCTTCGGTCCTCAAGGTCCTCGAGGTCACGTGAATTAATGAATCGTGACAATAATATTATAAATCATATTAATAAAATAAAAAAATTCAGATTATTATACTACAACTTTTTGTAATGTTAAATAATATCCCGGTATAATTTATATTATTCACTTATGAATATACAACTGAATATATGAATTAAATGAATTAACAGCCTTATTCCCAAAAGGATTTGGACTTAAACGAATTACTTGAGTTTTAACTATAGACATGCTTTTTAAACTTCTTTTTGGGCATGTTATGGTCTTCTTGCACATTCTTAGTAGGAGATTTGGAGCGAATCACATTAGTCCGTGAACTCAGTAATGTCTGTGAGTATGGTACCTGGTAGCTTTCTTAGTTAACAAATTTACATGATCGCATTTTGTGCTATCAAACTCCTCCCCCCAAAAAGCACCTTACTCGTGGCAGCTATCCTATAACAATTTAATTCGGAGATTTTCGAGACACAGTAAGATAACCAATCGTCTCTATCTCTTCTTCAAAGATAATTCTTGCTAACAAGAAATTCCTTCATCTTCTGCGGCATTGTTCAATTTACAAATCATGGGCGTTCCCCACGGATGAAAACTCGCACACCTGTTCCCTCATATGCTGATGCAAAATGGTCAAGTTGATTTAGATCTTTCTTCGTCATACTGCTGTCGAGAGACATATCCAGACATCTAAACAGTTTCGCCGCTGCGATGCGCAGCTCAGCATAGGCTAAACTGGAAGAAATTGTTAGCCAACGAAATCTGTTCGGGTCACAGCGCAAAAATTTCAACATACTTTATTCCTAGACATTGCCTTCCACCCTTCCCAAATGTGACCAAAAACTTCTCGAGCTGCTTCGAATCAGGTCCCAACCATCTTTCTGGCTTAAACACTTGGCTATCTAGGCCCCAGATAGATTCGCTATGATGCACCGACTGAGCGGAAATTCCGACAGTTGACTGTATGATGTTAATGCAAGAAGTAAGGTTGTTTATATTTAACTTACCCCAGGTGGGATAACTTTTCCATCAACAATAAACGGTGGAGTACCTGGCTGTGGCATGGGAACAACCCGCGGAAGACGTCCTGGAACGGGCATTGCACATCGAAGCGTCTCCTTGATACAAGCAGTCTGATATTTGTGAGCAGATTTCAATATCTTGAAAGGATTACCTACCAAATACTCGAATTTTTCCAGCTCTAATAAAGGCCAGTTCGCGTCCTTATCTGGAAGTCCAGCATCTAGCTCGGCTCTCAATTTTTGCAGGATATCAGGATTCCTGAGAACAGCATTGACTAGATATCCTAAGCTTGTTGCAGTCGTGTCAGAGCCAGCAACCATGATATCAATGCTCTCGGCCTCTATATACTCCTTCGACATATGTGAAAGTGGGTCGAACAGAGGAAGATGTTCAAATTTCTGGCCATCTGCGCGCGCCTTATCGAACGATGACATGGCGTCTGCCAAAGCCTGTATCATCCACTTAGCATCGGCCGAGCATCACATCATTCGCACAGCTTACCATTTTCAGCTCCTTGACTTTTGTAATCTTCTGACTAAGAAAAGCCATTAATGATAGAGGCATCAAGTTTGAAAATTGTCGCAAAATTGGAAAATAGCGGAAGGTGGTTACTACTTCTGTGGACATGTCGAAAGCAAAGAGGATGCCGGGATGAAATTCAAGGTCCTTGGCATCCTCCAAGAGACTAAAAGACTGTCCAAACGAGTATTCGGATATGAAGTCCACGGTCAAGCACCTGTTACCAGAGCGTTCAATTAGCGAAAGAAAGACTTCGAGAAATTCGAACCCACCGAATAGCGTTGTACATGTGAATAGCTCCTTGGTCTTTGAACTCACGTATCTTGTTGAACATTAAGTTGACTTTGGCGTAGATGGTGGGTTCAACTGCGACAATACGTTGCTTCGAAAAAAAAGGGCTTATGATCTTCCGGAGTTCACGGTGAGGGTCTGGCATGCCTTCAGAAAAAATAGTGTTCGGTGCATTGAAGGACGCATAGAAATCAGGATCCTTCATGAAACGGTACTTTTGGGAGTATATCTCGTCGTAGACAGAAGCATCATCGATGTGCAGCTCGTTTGGTCCAATGCGGAGAATATGAGTATCTATATACAGCAATTGTCAGTTCAAGTGTCGGGCCCGTGGAAGGAAAGATGTGTGTTTCACCATATTTTTGGTGCAGGGCTTTCAGATTCTCCTCGAGATGTCCGTCTTTTTCATTTTGGTAGAGCCACCAGAATGAAGCGCCAGCGAATTTAGGACCAGGAAACGAGGCGAGCGGGTGAAATGTCAAACGGTAAAAGGCACGGAAAATCCAGAACACGACATAGGCGGATGATAGAGCAACCGTGAAGTGTAGCAGCCGAGGAGGAAACTCCAACTCGCTGGTCGAGAGAATTTGGGTCAATATGGTCATTTTACTAAGTAGTTAATGATTTTGGTCCTGAAGATGCCATGAATGATGGGATAATATAGTCAAGGAGACATGTAGATATAGATAGAGCTTCAGAGCAACCTCGTTACACTGGGTACTTGTATATCCGGAAATCCGTTTGTGATGGTCATTTTTGACAAGATTTCAGATTTTGTATGGGTATACTGGAGATTCCGGTATTTTACTTTTACCGAATGATACTTTTGTATTTTCTGTACATATAGGTATTATTTACTAATATAATACTCTTTAACAGGTGTAAATCTATCCTAGTGATATCTTAATCATTATTATTCGAACATTATATAATCGATTTACAAATTTTCGAAGGTGAAGTTAAATTTTGAGCTTAGTTTATTGTATAAATTTATTGATATTTTAATGTCTGAATCTCCTTATGTTGGAAACCCGTCTATACTGAAGGAAATAAGTCTGATTTTTAAGGTCTGGTATAAGGGGGTTCTTCTGTCGGTACACAGTACGCGAGCAAGTTAAACTCAAGTAGCTCGTATACTAAACCCTTTTGAATTAAGGTTATTTATGATTTTCTATTTCTGGATGAAAGGATCAGCGGAGCGGATCTGTTAATCACTTTCATATCCCACCCAATCATACACCCAAATCTTAATCCATAGTAAGGAAAAGTTTCGGACGCGGACATTGAGAAAATAGCGAGGAATAGGGCAGAGCTTACCCCGCATTTTCGGAAGAGAAATAACAGGCCGGAATTGACCGCGCGAAATGACATGTGCACCCTCACCAAATTTTGTGTTGCTGTGCATTGGCTTTCTCCTCCAAATAGTCCGCCCCGCCTTCTGATAGCTGCCGGTTGTGGGGAACGCGGGAGCTAATAATCAGGGTCTGGTGGCTCTTTCGGAGTCCGGTAGTTGTTAAGTCCATCGGATATAGAAAAGTGGATTATCGTAATAATTAATGCTATCCACTAAGTTGCGTGCCCCTCTTTTGGACCACCTTTTTACACCAAAAATCATCATTTTTACCTATTAATAACTTTACAACGAATAAGGACAATTAAATAAAATTTAAACTACAGATTCATTTTATAATTACTAATAGGTTATGAGAATTTCATATTTTTCGCGATTTTGTTGGTTGAGATATACATGATTGAAATTACGATTTTCAATTTGTATAGGATTTCCATACAAATTTTAAAAAATTGAATATCGCAAAATATCCTACACTCAATTTCATAACGTGTTTCCGAAAAAAATATGACTTTTTGTGCTTGATCAATAAAAATATATTCAAAATTGAACCTTTGTAATTACAATGTTACGAGGTTTGCCATCTAGATTACGTGGAAGTGCTCTAGGCTCTCGAAGTGGTTTATGACTAGGCGTCAAGCAGGGACTTAAGTAATGACGATGATGCAATTTGTAACTAATAGTAGAGTATACTAAATGATTGATCTTGAGCACGAAGCTCTATAAAAAGGAAATCCATTATGATTATATAGACCTTCATACTATACATCCTATCACCTCCCATTATATCCCACTGCCTGTAGTTGAGTGATTCTAGGTGAGACAATATTGGGTCATGTGACCATAAGCTTAGTCACCTGAGTAGCTGTTAGGATTGTGTAACGATACTGTACTGGAGGCAGCGGCTGCCTGAGGTTTCGTCTTGTTGGTAGTTGTAGGTTAAGGCTTTATCACTGGTATTCACTTGGAAGTGAATTCGTTACTAGATCAAGTAGAATGTAGGTAGACTAATTGATAACTAAGTTGAGCACGAAGCTCCTAAACTATGAAATTACTCTGACTATATACTGATCGATAAAGGGAGCCCCCAGGAGCTTTCTGGCTCCTCAGGGCTCCTTATCACGTGATTTCTGATGGTGCGTGCGCATACGATCTTAAGGTGACCAAGATCACATACTAATTCGATGAAATCTGATCGCTTTTGCACAAGGCCTAATGTTACGACGGGCTACACAACTACCAAGACACGTGATCACAAATGATCAATAGTGATCATTAAGGATCACTAAGGATCACGATATAGATGATCACTAATGATCATGAAGGATCACTAGTAATCATGGAAGCATGAAGGACTATATAATCAAGATGGATTTCCTTTGTATAGAGCTTCGTGCTCAAGATCAATCATTTAGTATATCCTACTATTAGTTACGAATTGCATTTCATTATTGTCATTACTTAAGTCCCTGCTTGACGCCTAGTTATAAACCACCTCGAGAGCCTAGAGCACTTCCACGTGATCTAGACAGCAAACCTCGTAACACCTAAGCTCTCAGAATTAGTCAGTGGTTACCATCGTAACAATACTAATCCTAATGGTGAATCGTGACAGATTGGTCGTAACACTTTCCTTTTTTTTCTTTCGAATTTGTTAAGTATATTCTTATAAAATTCCAATTTTAATTATTCCAAATCTATTTAAATTATCGGATAAATTTAGAAATTAGTTTCAAAATATTCTATATCCATTTTATTAAATATTTTTATTATTGTAAATATTATTATTTATATACTATTAACTAATAATAGTATATGAAAAGCTACTGGTTGTTTTTCAATTTGGTTACCAAACACTACCTTATCAGGTGAAGTATGATGGAAAGATGGACATCACCAAATATCAATCGTAATTGACTATAAAGGGTTATACGCGCATTTGTTGATAGCAAACTTCAAGATGGGGATATTACTGCCGATACCTGTCACTTCTGTGAAGAAGATTACTGCAGAGACTATACTGGACTTGTGTGTGGATTCAACAAGAAGTTGCCCTTCCCTGGACAGTTAGAATGTGATACGCGCGAGGAAACAAGCAATTGTCATCTGATACATTCACTTTCATCACTACCAAATCAGATGTACATCAGTGCTTCGAGTCATTAGCGACAAGAAACTTCAATGGAATATCTTCAATTTCCAATTGCTATCCAAGCCTCAAATATCTAGCACCGCCATCGAATCTGATCAGCTTTCGAATGTCGCAACGTGGTAATCCCACTACCTCTAAATCATTGCCTACATCAGGTGAAATTTTAGAGCACAGCTCCTATCTCAAAAGCACCAATCCCAGTAATGGCTCATATGCGCTTCTCGGAATCCATCACACGAAACAATATTAGTTATTTCTCCATCCAAACTATCCCAACTCAACTTTCGCAAGTCTTTTTGAAGTTGCTTGTATCATGGTTGAGGAAGAAAATAAACAGCCTAGATCTATAATACTTGATTGCATCTTGTAATCATCATTTTGCTCATATTTTTCGCTGCTGTTTTGGCTGGTCAAGTGAATTTTACGCTACTTAATGCAGATGTTCGAGCATTATTGGAAAGTTGAGGCTAGATCCTGAGATTGGGATAGTATCTCATATTTTGCAGGACTCTAATAGATGGCTGGACACTCTTGGTTAATTGTGTTTCTTAGATGGATGCTTAACTATTAGAATCAAATGGTCAATGGCCTCATCATTTTTGACACGATATTTGGTATTTTGAAAGAGCTAAAAGTTTCTTTTGGAAGTAATTGTGTTTCTGTTAGTGCTAGTCTAGAAAGACCTTGGGAGTTTGTTCACTACACAAGGAAAGCTTTTTGGGGTTGGTGTTGATCAATCTGAAGTTGAAAGATTTACGAAGCAAGCGAATATGATCGAATAATTGTGTCATATTCAGAAAATTTTACGCAGAGATCGCACAGCCGTTACTTTACCCGGTGTTCTTCTCGAAGTAAAAAGCTGAACACTAGGTCTAGGCTTCAATAGTATGGTACCAGGATCAAAATTTTCCCTCTAATGGGGTATCATCTTTAGTATCATTCCGTGCTTTAGATGTGTAGATTTGAAAACTTAGTAGTACGGCAAAGGGAAATTGGTCTCGTGAGGAGGGATCGACTTGAAGGTGGAACGAGAATGGGGTAGCGTGGAATAAGCTGGATTGTCATCACCAGCCATTGAAGAGATTTGTTTCTTTACTGGAGTTTTACTTTTGACATGCACTGCATGTATGCATCGACGATTTCTTCTTGTTGTTGGGTGTATTGTTCTTTTGATTCATTTTCATATTGTATGGTCTACAATCTTAGGATGCTGGTGCGACTGCATGTTTGGTTTGATGGGATGACTCGCCTGGTGACTCTGATGGCATGGTAATGGGAAATGTATCCGCCTGGGTTTCAAAATCCGGGATCAGTCTTCTAATTAATCAAACATTACCATTTCTATGACAATGATGTCGAATTAGATTTCTCGAGTATTCCTGGTAGTCCCAACTTGGTCTCATTTTGCTAAAACAACGCTTGTATGAAGACACTCTTTCCTTCTTTACATTTTTGTTGCCCATATGGCCAGCGCGATTTTCTTCTGTCCTGGACTTATGCCTTTCTAAGGGCAAAATCAATTTGATTTACTAGAAGCTCTGTAAGGTACTTACTATGCAAAACGTGGGAGACACCACCCCAGATGGAAGATGTACTTCAAACACTATATCACTATCTCCCAACCCTCATTTCCGCCCCTGGTCGAGGGCTTTTTTAGTCTTTTCCACCATGGCAGTTTTCTTTTAGTCTTTTGGGGGGATCGAGTGTGCTGCAGTCGTTATCGGGTTCGTTCCTGAGTCTGACTGCTGGTTCATGCTTGGCAGGCCTCATTCCGACTTGCCTCCGCGTAAACAAAAGTGGACGGTAATAGTACACTCCTACTCGTGCGGCCAGAAAGTACAGAACTCCTTCCTAAACACATGCAGTATCATTCTCGCCTCCAGGTCGGCCGAATAACTTTAAAAAGGAACAAGGTTTTTCTTCGGGACCGAGATTAGTTCCACTCCTATCTATTTCGGCAACCAACGTCCCCACAATAACCTTAATGGCATTCGATCTTCAATCAGATAATTCTTGAGCCCCACAGACCCCACAAAACTATCACTATGCCTGCACCTTCTCCAAGTTCAATAGGAAATCACCGCTACATTAATCTCCACGCATTACGTGTTGTAGATGGATTTGGACTCTAAACCGCCTAGAATGGGATCCAAGCCGTTCATTATGGCTTAGATCACATGCGGATATTCTGCCAGAATCACAATGGCCCGGTTTAAGAAGAATATAAGACCGTTGAGTATGACTCTAGTATCTCATCCTCGTCTCATCTTTCTCTTCACCATCCATCATTCGCGGGTCAAACCACACCTAAAACGCCAATATGCGTTCTTCACATGTCGCAACTGCCATTGCTTCTCTCCCAGCTCTGGTACAATCTCTCAGTCTGACAGATATTTGCACACCAACCTATCTCGCGGCTAACTTTCCAGCTGTCGATTTTTATGATGGAATAACTTTAGATCCAACATCAATCACAGCTAAGATGGTGACAAACGCCTCGGCATCGAGCGTGTTTTATCCCAATGCCGTCATCGATTATTGTGCTGTTACGTTCAAGTACTCTCACAATGGTCTGAACGACAGTGTTCTTCTAACATACTGGGTTCCTGCACCAGCAAATTTCCAAAATCGTTACCTTTCTACAGGCGGTGGTGGATATGCCATCAATTCAGAGACTCAATCATTGGCTGGAGGAGTGGAATATGGTGCGGTTGCAGGTCAAACTGATGGTGGTTTTGGAATCTTTCAAAATAATGTTATTGCCCAATTCCTTCTTGCGAACGGAACAGTAAATTGGCAAAATGTTTACATGTTTGGATATAATGCTATTCATGAAATGAGTGTCATTGGAAAGGAATTCACTTCGACTATCTTTAATATGACTGCCAAAAATGCTACCTTGTATTCTTACTATCAAGGCTGCTCCGAAGGCGGCAGAGAAGGCTTTAGTCAAGTTCAACGTTTTGCGGATCAATTTGATGGAGCGGCAATCGGTGCACCCGCTTTCAGATACGCATTCCAACAAGTGCAACACCTTTATTCGAACGTCGTGGAACAAACTTTGGATTATTACCCACCACCTTGTGAATTGCAGAAGATTGTCAATGAGACAATCATTGCTTGCGATCCTTATGATGGTAAAACAGACGGAGTAGTCTCCCGAACAGATCTTTGCACGATAAACTTCAATATCTCGACTCTTTTGGGCACACCATACTCTTGCCCTGCAGCAGCAGGAGGATTTTTTGGTGGTGCAACACCTGCACAAAATGGGTCAATCTCGGCCAAGGGTCTAGCTGTAGCCCAGAAAATACTCGACGGTCTCCACACCACTGATGGCAAACGCGCCTATTTCTCATATACTTCCTCCTCCACCTTCACCGACGCATTGACATCTTACAACCCCACGAGCGGTCAATTCGGTCTTGATATCACTTCTCTTGGCGGCTCCTTTGTCGAAGTCCTCCTCGATCTCAAAAATGGTTCTAACCTCCAATCTCTTGAAGGAGTGACATACGATACCCTCCATAACTGGATCCAAGATGGATGGAACCGTTATAACGATGTTCTAATGACCAACTGGCCAGACCTTACTCCTTACAAAAATTCCGGCGGAAAAATCATCCATTTCCACGGCGAATCCGACTTCAGTATCCCCACTGCCTCATCTGTTCGATACTATGAATCTGTGCGAGAAGTTATGAACCCGGGACTCTCATACAATGATTCCGTGGCCGCAACTAATGAATTCTATCGACTATTCCTCGTACCAGGTGGTTCGCATTGTGCGGTCAATGCAGCCGAACCTAATGGACCATGGCCACAAACAAATTTGCAGGTTTTGATTGATTGGGTGGAAAATGGGGCGGCTCCTGTTACTTTGAACGCGACTGTTTTGCAAGGAGAAAACATTGGGACGAATCAACAGATTTGTGGGTGGCCTTTGAGACCCTTCTGGACGAATAATGGGACGACTATGGAATGTCGGTATGAGCAGGAGAGTATTGATTCGTGGATTTATGATTTGGATGCTTTTGATATGCCGGTTTATTAGGTTGGGATGGAAATTATGGATGGGAAAATGCTGAGGAATAAGGTAATGATTGAAGAGCTTGAATGGTTATGATTGGTGATGGTGGGATGGGGGATGAGAATGAGGAACGGACAATGTGCGGCATTGTTGCGTACTACTATACCTATTCATTGTTCAAATATTGTAATACCAAACCATTTGATCAACTTATATCCATAATTTTCACATTCTGGATTGGTGTGATGAACATTAAAAGGTTAGTTAAGGCACGCGATATCAAAATCCACGTGGAATCACGTGAATTGGCCATCTCAGCTCCATCACCTTTGAGCATGCTTCCTCCATACTTCGTAGATCAGGATCAATCAAATCTATTGCACAATATCTTTTTAGACCATAATTTTGCATCCACAAACTTCTCGTCGCAAGTTCACGAGACACATTTATGCTTTTTCGATCTTATGAAGCTCGCATCTGATCGACGCGTCGCGTCATTCGCTATCTTGGTGTTGCCATTCAACTTTTCATGGTGATCATGAATCTTTCATACAGAACTGTAATTGAAGCTTGATGCCATGATATTTGTTTGTACTGCCTGGTATCTGGATGGCAGAGGAGGAGGCCGTTGTACCGCCAAGACTGAAAATCAGGCGTACATAACGCTATTGCCGCTCTTTCTTCTTGACACCTTGTTTCTTCCCCTCATCTATCACTGATGTCCAACAATAGCCTCGCAAAACTGACCTCTTCTGCCAATATCTATGAACTACAGGAAATGCCAAGTCGGATGGTCTTGCATTTGCTCATGCTTCGGATGAAGCACGCGTTCAACAATAGTACCACTTAAAAGGCAGTTTTTGATAGGTTGGAGCAGGAATTTTCGGAAAATTTCAAGATCTGTCGAATTCGATGTCGTTTTTGTGTCTGTATCATCTTTGGTTTCTTCCTTTCTAAGACATTTCTCGGAATTATCATTGCACCAGAAATCTTGGGGTCTGCTTAAGAGGCTCCAACGTTGATCTAGACTGCTCTTTGTACCGTGTTATGGGATATCTTACAAGGAAGTATATTTCCGTTATCTTTCGTCACTAGTTGTGGCACATTGATAAACATCATGTCGATTGATATCGTGATATATCACAAAACCACATCATTGAGACTGCATGGATCTGCGATGATCAGTTGAAACATGGAGTTTGTTTCCTCCATACAATTTCTCCCGAGAACCATGCAGGTTTCCGTCAAATCCTTGAGTTGTGTCACAAGTGGAAACTGCCATTATGCTATTAGCTCGAGATCTTCCTGGTCTGACCTCGTGCTTTTCTGATTCTACAAATATCAGAAGAAATCCTTTCTAGCGTGGGTTTTCCACGTCTTCCCTGCATTGCCATAATTTATCGATTTGCGATAGTAATTTCAATCAGTCACAGCCACGCGATGATGTGGTCAAAACTTCTGATCTTGTTTGCCTTTGTGTCAGCACTGGTAAGCTCTTTGGCACCAACAGACGAAATTCGAGATGCAGATGCACCACAATCCGGCTATCTAGATAACCATAATATGCACCCTGCGACAGTTGGGTCTGCCATATTTGGGATTCTATGGAAAAACAACTATGGGAATAATAAGGAGAAATGGTACGCAAAACCATTAGTATATACTCCACCAGGCAGATCACAGTTGGTATTTCTTGCATCAGCAATGAATGTAGTACGTACTTTGGATGCCGTTAATGGTACTTTGTTGAACTCGCGAGTTATTCAGCCACCTTTCCTCCAAAGTGATCTTGGGTAAGTTGGGCCGAAGATCTGATCAAAATCCAGCTGATCAGATAGATGTACCGATATCCCGGATTTTATTGGTATCATTGGTACACCTGTTATAGATCCATCAACGAATATTGTTTACTTTTTCTCCAAAGGATATAAAAATGGTGCTGCTAGTGGAGGGGTTGTTAATGGTAAGAAATATTGCAATGCGCAAGATTCTGTGCTAACAAGTGAGTAGGGCTCTACAAGTTCTATGCTGTAGATATCATTACACTCCAGGATATTTCCGGGTTTCCCGTTCTCATTGATGGCAATTTCGCAGATAATGATAACGCAAGGTAAATGGGGTTTTTCCAGACTGATGCCAATTATACTTATATTTACAGGTATTTTCTTGGCGGCACAGTTCTTCAGAGACCATCAGTTACCTTGATTAATGGGGTGGTGATTGGCGCATTTGGGGGGCACTGCGACCTTTTTAATTATACTGGAATGTTGGTTGGAGTTAGCACGACTCCTGGAGTTGGTGTTACATCCATATTTGCTATGGAGTCTAGCCCAGGAGCTCCGCCTGTCGTGGCGGATTTTAATATCCAACAAGGTGGAAAGGCTGGAATATGGCAAGGAGGTATGGGTCTTGCAACTGATGGAAATCGCTTATTTCTTGCGACGGGGTAAGTCGAATTTGCTTGATTACCTACTTTGCAAGCAGTGTGTTAATTCGGCACAGTAATGGAGAAGGACATGCCAATGGTGATGTACCGGCATCAGGAAGAACTCCGCTATCGACCTTGGACGAAGTTGTTGGAAATTTTGCTGTTTCTACCACCGGTAAAATTACTTTGTCAGATTACTTTGAGCCATACGAATATGTCTCAATGGACGCTGGTGATCGAGATCTAGGATCTGGCGGAGTGGCCCTGCTAGATCCTACTGTGTTTGTCGGCACCGGAGTTTCACGAATCGCAATTGTTATTGGGAAAAATGGAAAAGCATAGTACAAGGAAGAACCACTTCTTTGATGTGTTTATGGCTAACAACGATTTAGTATCTTAAATGCAAATAATCTTGGTGGTTTCAAGCAAGGGCCCGGAGGTAATGCCGCAGTCATTTTTGTGTGTATCTTGGTTGACAATTATGCAGGAACCGACAATATACTTCAAACGATCATTGCACAAGGCTCCATCTTCGCAGGTCCGGGTTCATATCCACTTGAAGGTGGTTATATCTAGTAAGTCGCTACAAGATGTTCTTACATGTGGGACTATTCTAACGCAACACAGCTTTACTCCTGTTGGTGAGTGATACGTTGAATCTAGATCGGAATAACATATGTTAATAGCGTATAAAACTTTTAGGCTTTCCGACAGTCTGTTACAAGCTAGGGCACAGTGATCAAGGCGCTCCACTTTTTACTTTGTTCGGGCAGAGCGCAACAAACTCAGCAGGTTCTGTTGGAATAGGTAAGAGACGGGTGTGAGCTATTTCTACGACAGGGCTAAGAATTCACTAGGAATACCGACTACGACTACTTACAAAGGTCAGGCAGGTACAGGTATCCTCTGGATTTCAGATCCAAATGCTGGACTCAAAGCATATAATGCTGTACCTGTAAATGGAATCTTGACACCAATATCGCTTCCACCAACTGGAGGTCTCAATAAGTTTCAGCGTCCCGCTTTTGGAGATGGACGATTATATGTTTCAGACACGAATGGTAATGTCATATGCTTAGGGTCCCCGGTTGCTTTACCTCTTCAATGTACTCAACCTATCGACTTTGGCCAAGTTGCTATTGGCTCAACCGGTACTCAGATTATCAACTGCACGGCACAAATTGCCATTACTTCAGTGAATGGATGCACCACGGGCGATAAAACCTGGCAGTGCGTCAATTCAACATTACCACAAGGGTCATTAGCCCAAGGCGCAATTTTCTCGTTTCCGGTGACCTGGAATCTTACCCAAGCTTCCATTAATGATGCCCAGAATGCATCTTTTGGACATGTTCTACCTGGAGTGGCCAGCACGAGTCTGAATCTCTATACCACAAATGCGATACCTAAGTATAGTACTCTTGTTCCTGTATCTCTCTCTGGTACGACTGTTAGCAAAGGACCATTTCTGGATATTGCACCTGCAGAAGTTGATCTTGGTGGCATTGTTGTAGGGTCACAATCAGCACTGACTGGTTTGAGTGGGACTGTAATTATTTCAAACATTGGGGCACAGGTAATGAATATTTATGGGTCAGCATGGACTCCCAATATCGCGCCTGACGATGGTGGTAAGCCTACCAATTTCATCATTCTGGGCCTTGAGCCGTGTTTGATATAGATTTGGCTATCCAAGGCCGTCTTCCCTCTGCGGGGTCTGAACAACATTCCTGAGTTGCGGTTAGAAACTTCCATGGCTAATGAATTAACATCAATAGCTCCCAAATACACGAATATTACAAACGGAAGTCTCGGAAATGGTTTCAGCACAACAGCCATACCAAAGGCTGGTGACACAATTGCAAGTGGAGGTTCAGTGACAGTTCCATTGAACTTCATAAGCAATACCACAGGAGCATATTCAACATTTGTTGAATTCTGGACAGATGGAGGTAACGGGAATGTCTTCATCACCGGCAGTGCTTCCACAGCACCAATTGCTAATATCTCAATTGCAACAATTGAAGGAGGTTGGGATTTCTCAGAACCAGTATTAATGAACTTTGGAAATGTTTTGGCTGGAAAGACTGTCACTTCGTACATTCGGATTTGTAATTCGGGCGGATCGGCACTTCTCATAACCAAGAGTAAGCCACCTATTGATACAGAACTGTTAGCTCCTGATTCTGCCGTGGATCTTCATGAAGGTCAGGTTATCGAGGTTAAAACTTGTGCCACCGGCGCTGTTTCTATCGTTGCTGCTCCTCTTGGGGTGAATAGGCTCGATCATACTGTTTCTGATGTGTGGATTTTGAATACTGAGTAAGTGCTTCACATTCTATCAATGTGTTACTAATGAAGACAGCGACATCACATTCGGGATTCATGACGTTCAAGTCACGGCCAATATTGTAACAAGACAACTTGGACCTTTGCTGTCAAATGGATCCGCAGAGTATCTATACCTAGGTTGCTATTATGATGGTGGTGGTCGACAGTTACAAAAACAATACAATAATGCTACCAATGAGAATGGATGGTGCTTGACGAATTGTTTTAATCTGGGATATAGCTTCGCTGGCACGGAGTATCGTAAGTATTCCTAAATACGATGTAAATCGGTAGCTAATTTAAATTAGACACAGAATGCTGGTGTGGAAATAATGCTCCGATAGCAGCAAAATAGTAAGTCTGGGATCCAAATTTGCTAGTTAAAGTGATTAACCTTCTAATAGTAGTGATCCGTCCCTAAATAAATGTGCATTTAGCTGCCCTGGAGATAAAACGCAGGCATGCGGAGGAGATGGGACATTTGTATCTGTTTACTATGATAGGACCAAGTATGTTCCTGGTCCGGATTCAATTCCTGGACTCTCGAGTCCTTCAAGCAGCAGCAGTAGTAGTTCAAGCTCTACTTCCACAACTACATCCTCCTCTTCATCTCCGTTGTCAGCTAGCACCTCAACTCAAAATTCCACTACTACCTCTACTATCACTGCAACCTCAACTACAACTTCCACTTCTATTTCGACCACCTCTGTCGTACCAACCTCCACTGGTCCTGTAATTATCCAAATTATCGGCTCATATTCTTTCGTGGGATGCTATACCGAGGCTACCACCGGAAGAGCTCTAAGTGGAAAGAGCTATACAAACGATAGTATGACTATCGAAAGTTGTTATGCATTTTGTTCAGCTTTTGCCTGGTTTGGCTTAGAATATCGAAGGGAGTGTATGGATTGCTCGAGAACCCTATTTTCGATATGAAGCTGATTCCTTTTTAGGTTATTGTGGGAACGTTGTTAATGCAGGTAGTGTTGTGTCAACAACAAGAAATACTTGTTCTTTGGTGTGCATGGGAAATCCTTTAGAATATGTAAGTCCCAATTTTGATCCGTGTAACCGAATGGAGATTACTGACCGCCATGATTTGGCAGTGTGGTGGATCCTCTCGTTTGCAAATGTATCACAGTGTTGCGGGCGCTAGTTCAACCTCCAGCTCATCTTCGGGCTCCGTTTCCTCGGCCCGCCTTTTAAAGTGATGTGGCCAATCCCTCAATCTTCATCGATCCCCTAGTGCATTAGTCTCCATAATCTCAACCACCAAAACATCTGTCACAAGTACGCAACCCACCACTGCTTCAATAAATTCTTCAATTACCTCTCCCTTGTTGTATCACAATCCATCGATCACACCCTTGGTATCCACTACTGCAACACTAGATTTCGCCTCAATCGGCTCTTTCAGTGAACCTGCAGGAAGACTATATGCAGGTCACAATCTTCAAATTTTCTTCTCGAACGATTCCATGACCCTTGAACTCTTTCTTCAGCGCTAGCTCAAAAACTGCCAAAACTCCTGTTACTCACAAATACATCGGACTAGAATACGGAAGGGAATATCACCCAGAAAAGATTTCACCAACTCCTGAACCGAGTAGTCTAGTGGGTTCGCACGCGTGTACCATGTCTTGTGAAGGCAATTCAAAGAAAGATGCGGGGATGTGAATATGTATAACTTCTACTCCGTATGCAGCAACGGCAGTGTTGGCGTCGGCTACAGGTAACAGGATTCGGAATAGTGCAGTGAGCACGGTTAGTGTTTGGCAGGTTATTGAAGGATTTTTGACGAGATGCGATTTGATCGATTAACGATAAGCAGATAAAATACATAAGGACAACGTTGAATATATGTCTTTGCTTCTTTTTTCGTCTTGCTGATATTTTATAGGATATTTGGTTCTTGCATTAATCTTTATATTTCTCCAATGACACTATTTCATGTGCTAATTTTCTTTATCTGTTCGATCAAAGTAGATGCTAGAGCTCTGTACTTCAGCGTCTAAAATGTCTACTAGCACCATTAAAAAATTCTCGAGTTCACACATCAAGAGAGGTCAACGCTTCCGATGTTCCGAGTGTTGGCCGATGCTCACTCACCCCACTTGTCCATCCTGATACCCGCAATCATCACCAATAGACACGCAATGACAAGGAGTTTGCCCTGTATAAAATAACGTGGCTTTGTGTTGGAGATGGGGTGGGAAGAAGTCCGGTGGGAAAATTCAATCATGCATATGGAGAGGGCTTAGCAGTTTGCTTGTGGAGAGAATTTTTGTTGAAGGATGTGAGCAGCTTTCTTCCAAAAGCATATGAGAGTTTCGCTGACCGCAATTCGCGATGCTTACCGTGGCCCGTACGTGTCAATTTTTTTCTTGAATTGAAGTCAATCACGACCAAGGTTGTCGGGACCATGTCTATTTGTCGAAGTATAAGTGTTTGGCAATCAGCACCGAGGTTTAATCGGTAGCATTGTATAAATTGTCATTCTTCTTCTTTCTGAGTTCATTTCAGGATTTGAGGGTACAGCATTGTACAAGCTACGTCAGTGATTGATTTTTCGATACCCCTTGCATTTGTTTGAAATTTGCTTTTTAGTCGATTGGTTAGATATTTGCGATTGATTGATCTATTGCATTCCAAGTCATTGGCTCAAACAATACATATATAAATATATATATATTCATCCAACACGCTAGAAGCAAGCCAAGAAAGCCACACTACAATGGCTTTGCCTCCACCCCGGGGGTCTTTATCGCCGACGGCAGCAGCGCCAGCGCCAACACCAGCGCCAGCTCCCGTACCAGTTACGCTAGAAGCTGATGACGCCGAAGCCTTACTTGACGATGGCGATTCAGCGCTTGGATCTGAACAGGGAAGTTCCACAACCTCACTCGCATCAAGTATTACTAGGTACCGCATTGAAAATGGACGCACATATCACGCATATAAAGATGGAAAATACGCATATCCTAATGATGATATGGAGCAAGAGAGATTAGACCTACAGCATCATCTGTGTACTATCACACTTAATGGTAGGTTATTTACGGCTCCTATTGACGTGGATAAGATTGAGAGGGTTCTGGATGTCGGGTGTGGAACAGGAATTTGGACTACGGATTTTGCGGATGAGTATCCCCATGCTACAGTGTTGGGTATTGATTTAAGTCCCATTCAACCCATGTTTGTACCACCAAATGCAATATTTCAAGTGGATGATTTGGAAGAGGAATGGACTTTTGGGGATGGTGATAAGTTTGATTTTATCCATACGCGGATGATGACTGGGAGTATCCAGGATTGGGATCGATTTTTTGAACAGGCTTTTGAGTGAGTGTTCATCTTCCAATCGTCAATTGCGTTGGGATATCTTTCAAAAACAAAACCCTCCTTCGTCCCTACTAATCAAACACGTTTGAGTAGAAATCTCAAACCAGGAGGATACATCGAAGTCACAGATATCCTACTTCCTCCCACTAGTGCAGACGGTACACTGAAAGCCGATTCTCCGCTTCTCAAATGGGCAAATTTGCTTCTAGAGGGAAGTATTTTAGCGGGTAGGGGTCTTGATAGTGCGATGACGTATACGGAGAAATTGGCGAAGGTGGGTTTTCAGGGGATTAATGAGACGATTCATAAATGGCCGGGTAATAAGTGGCCCAAGGATCCTAAGGCTAAGGAGCTTGGTAAGTGGTGACTTCTTTTTTCTTCGTTTGTCTACACGGAAAGAGCTCTGAGATGTGTTTATTTTGGATGAGGGTTATCTGTGAATGTGAAAGAGATGGGCTAATGCTGAATATTAGGAATGTGGCATCTAGAAAATATGACGTCTGGGTTGATGGGGATTAGCTTGGCTCTTTTTACGAGGGTGTTAGGGTGGTCTGTGGAGGAGCTAGAGGTTTTTTTGGTGGATGTTAGGAAGGATATGAAGGATACTTCGATTCATACTTATTGGCCTATGTTAGTATTTTCCGTTTTTCTTTCTTTTTTTTAGTCCTATGGAGCTAGTAGATGGAAGCACGGCGAAGTGGTATGAGGTATGAGGGTGTGTGTATGGTTGTGCTAATATTTTGATTGCGATAGACATGTGATCCATGCGTACAAGCCTCTGCATGCTTAATTGGTCCCGATGGAGGTCGAGAGTTAGAGTTGAATGGCCAGTAAAGGGGAAGGGATTGTAGATAGCTGGAGATGAAGAGAGGTTGTTTACATTCGGATAAGAATGTCATTGATTATTAATGTATATATGCACCAAGCGATGGCTGCTGAAGTAAGTTGAGTAGTCGAGGTGGCTACGTCAAATCCATTGGATAGAAGTTAACAAGAAATAGAGCTAGCTAGAAACTAGATAATAATAAGTATCATGTGTCTATGACGTGACTTTGGTTCCTGACGGAAATTTTTATTAAAAAGAGTGTTTTATATAGATTCGGTTTATTATGAATACTCCCATTTCTCTGCATTCACATATGAATTGAAATAGCTCATTTAGGAATGAACAGATTTGATTGATTAATACCCGGAATAAGCAAATGTCAACATCTCATACGTTCGGATACTTATCAAATCGGAATGGATGTCCTTATTACCACCGCACTGAAGCCTGATCTAAGTATCGCGACTTGTGATGCTACCAGTATTCGTATCAATTTAAGTTCAAAACATAAATTTTTATGATTACTATTCAAGAATCTTGATGATTAGTGATATCGGCACTGCAGCTCTGCTGCAACCCCACCGTCACACGATTTCCTTCCTATATATCACCACTCCAGACTCCATCTACCAAATCTCTCTATCAACCTTACACCAGACTTTCACACCAGACTTTCACACCAGACTTTCTCACCAAAAACATCCACTAAACCCAACCCAACCTCACCAAAAAAGTAACCCATCCTCCTCAAAATGTCCACCCCAAACCTCACAATCCATCAACACACCGGCCCCTTTCCAACCCTCTCATCCCGTCAACACCCCGCGCTCCGCTTCCTCGAAAACTACGTCAAAAAAATAAACTCCACATCCTACTCTAATTCCTACCTCTCCTACTACCATCCCCGCAGCATTTTCCACGACGCAACTGGTATTGACTATGTAGGCGGAGCGGTAATCTGGAAATGGATACAGGGATTATTTGACGGTGAGATATTTTCGAAAATCGAGATGGAGAATAAGGAACTTTTTGTTATTGGGGGATTGGGGGGTCAGGAGGAAAGAGAGGGAGGGAATGAGATGGAGGGGGAATGGAAGATTTTTGGTGAGTCGGTCGCCCATTGGTGGGTGAAGAGTACTGGGGAGAAAATTAGTGTGCCGAGGAGTATGGTGTTTAGGTTGGTGAAGGCTGAGGATGAGGCGACGGGGGAAGGGGTTGATGCTAATGGGGTGGTGGTGGAGGAGGTTGGGTTTGAGGGGTTGCAGATTGGAGAGGTGAGGGTTTATTATGATCGGAGTTTGTTGATGGGGGTTTTTAGGAAAAGTGAACAGGAGAAGGAGAGGTTTGGTGCATGAATTATTTTTGGAGGAATGATGGAATTGATGACTTTATTTGTGAATTTTCTATTTTTAGAAGTAAATTGGAAGTGGAATGGTAATTAGTGAACCTCCAACGATTTGTGAGAGCTCTTTCTCGCTTAGTCCCCAAAGTCTAGTTTCATGTTTTGCTATTTTACTATAATATATAGGACCAATGCTTTTGATGATCAAAAGAAGAATACATGGATAGAGAAAGACTAGTGTGATGAAGAAAACTCTCAACTGCAACCATATAAAGGGTCAAATGACGAGTGTTCTCAACTTCATGCATCTCAGCATCTTATCCTATCCACCGAAGAGAGCTGTGCTGCATATGAATTCCCTTACGATCCATGGTTATACTGACATCATGAAGCTTAATATCATTTTCATTATGCCTACCAGCGATAGACAAGTAATAGTCAAAGTTGATAGTATGAATACTTCTGCACTATCATACAAACCTCAAAATATTCACAACTTAACAAGTTACCACTCGAACAATTTAAGATCTTTCTATCATTTTGAACGACACCTCTAATCCCAATCACAAGTATTATTATTAAATATTAACTATAGATATAGTTCTACCCCTCTTTCATATTCCTACTAAACAACAATACCATAATCAATCTCATAATATAATCTCCATCTCCATTCCTGATAATCACTACATCCATCTCAAGCAAAATCAAACAAATAATTATTTTTATTTCAACCTTTCGACTCTTATTTATAAAAATTCTGACTTTGTTCCAAAACCTTATTATATATCTATATCAAAATCAAATATTATAATAAATATTCATTCATTTGACTATAAGTTTAATTATCTACTTTTTTTTTAAATTACAAATTACATCTTTTATCATTTTTAATAATCAAAAAAAAATCTTATATATTTAATATAATATAATATAACTGTTACGTTGTAACATTATAAACTATTATCACGTGTTATAGGATCACATGGATAGTCTTGTGAGGGAGCGAGGGAGCGAAGGAGCGAGATTCGAATCTCGCTCCAATGTTGGAATACGAAGGTCTATATAATCAAGATGGATTCCCTTTGCATAGAGCTTCGTGCTCAAGATCAATCATTTAGTATACTCTACTATTAGTTACGAATTGCATTATTGCCATTACTTTAAGTCCCTGCTTGACGCCTAGTTATAAACCACCTCGAGAGCCTAGAGCACTTCCACGTGATCTAGACAGCAAACCTCGTAACAAAATAAAACAATGACTAAAAAAGAGTATACCAACCAGACTTATATTGACTTTATAAATTATTATATCTAAATCTTAATATTTTATATCTCATATTGTATTATATTATATTATATTGTATTTTACATCATATCCAAATCTCACATCGCATCTTACATCTGTCTGTATCCTAACTTACCCTATCTCTATCAATCTATCAATTGAATAAATCAAATCAAATCAAATCAAATCAATCAAAACCAAAGCCAACCAATTAATCACTCAATCAGAAAATTCATTCACATCATTGACATCAATCACAATCACAATCACAATCCCTTTTCTTATTTTTAAAAATCTTTCCAATCCACTCCAATCCAATCCAATCCAATTTCATCCATTCATTCATTCTCATATATGTACATACAAAGATAGATACATACAAAATACATACAAAATGAGCATGCATCAAAATATGCATTATTAATCAATCAATCAATCCTCGCCAGCGAGCCAGCAAGCAAGCAAGCAAGCAAGAAGCACCTCATACCAAAGAGAAGAGAGATGATAATCTAGGTAGACGTAAAAGTAACTAAACGTAGTAAAGAATCGAGGGGAGTTTTGAGCTACCCTCTATGATCCACCCACCGACCTATCAAAGGATATACTAATGTCCTCATGTGGTATTGGGAGAGAAGAAGAAGAGAGAAAGAGAAAAGAAATATATCCATCTACCCGCCACGAAATCTCCCGAGACTATACCAAACACTTTCAACAACATTATTCCACACAAATTTTCAATCATATCTCCCCTGGAATCATTATCAGATATTACTCCATATCCTTTCACATTCACAAATTTCCAACCACTTCGTGCATAAATCCTGGCGCATTGCGCAATTATTCAATAATTGGATCTTCACTTGGTGCCCCAGCCCCTGCACTCTCCTCTTTCTTCTGAGCAGCTGCACCACCAAAAGCCCAACCCATCCAACTTCCTCTCTTAGCCTTCTTCTCCTCTTCTTCTTTATCCTGGACCAATTGTAACGGCTTGGGTTTGTTTCCGGCGAATTTTCTCGCTTCCTTTCGCGGAGGACTATAAGTACTAGGCGGTGTGCTGACCTCACCGCTATCTCCGCTTATACTACTAGTTTCGCTCCTGAGTCCCGAGAAATTACCCACTGTGGGAACATTACTTAGAGATGTATGGCGAGAAGCGGGTTTACCGTTCATTGGACCAGCCCCAAAAAATGTTTGCGAGTGTCGGGGTGTTTGGGGTCCATGAAGGGTTGGCGAGGTTTGACCACCTCTGTACATTTGATTGACGATCGATGCTCCACTACCGGTATATTGTTCTGATTTGGGACGAACTCCTTGTCGAACACTTGATGAACGGCCAACTCCAAATGGAATGCTGGGTGCTGTTTCGGGATCTTGATTGAGTGTTGAGTGGCATCATTGGCATAACTGATTGAGGTCTTGG